AACATGTGGTGTAATCAATGCATGTCACCTATGGCCTCATCCCCAAAGGAAACTTCAGAGCACAATAAGGTACTATATCTTATTTTTCCTTTCTATTTAAGGAGTACATTTATTTCCTTATTAAATATTGCATCATGGCCTTTCTATATGCACAGGGATAGATTTATCTCAAAAATATGCGTGGGAATGCAGTCATTTAAATTTTTATTACAGAAGTGGTATATGAATGCATTCTGAGTCAACAACACATAAAGTGACACTCCTCCCCTAGTTTCTTCCATTTTTCTTTTCCATTCTTTTTTTTTTTTTTTAAAGATTTATTTATTTATGCATACAAGAACTGGGGTATAGACCAGAGGTGTGGGGAGTGAGAGGATTCACCAGAAACAGAGTGGGGAACAGAACAGGCGGATCAACTAAAATACATTGCTGAGGGGAACAGCAGGTGAGTCAAGAGAAGTCTGCTGTGTCATGTGGTTATCTCCCTGGTCGGGGATTGAACTCATGCTGCAGTGGCTGTGGATAGCTTCATAGTTTGCATCTTAACCCCTTGCGACACCAGGGAGGCACCATTCTTTTTTTTTTTTTTTTGCATTTACACACACGCACGCGTGAGCACACATACACACACACACATTTCACATATTGATAGATTTGAATGTCTTTTGTGTCTGTACAGCTCTAACTTACATTTCCTCACTGGATATATAGTTTTTGAATATACCATAATTCAGTGGTTCTGAGACTTACCTGAGGAACTTAATAGAATATGGTTGTTCTAACAACTCAGCTGAGCCCTCTCCATATCTCATGCTGGGCTGAGCCAGTGTAGCCAGAAACAGGTCCGAGGTGCCTAACAATGGGAACAAAGTCCTGTCCATCAGCCCTGTTTGCATAAACCCCTTGTATTTCTGAGTTTCTGAGGAAGGGTTTTGTAGGCTAATTTGCAGCATCGGAAATGATGAGTCAAAGGGGATAGGATTTAATGATATGGCCAAAGTGAGCCCCAACAATATACACCTCCCCTCCTCCAACAGTGCAAGTGTCCTGTCTGTCCGTCTCTTCTCCACCACTCATGGATAACACTGTGCAAGAGTGTATTTTGCAAGTCTGATATATATTTAAAAATATATACTTATTTTAATAGATTATGAAAGCTGAACAACGAATGCCCTTTTTTGTAAACACATTCTTTTGGATTTAAGATTTATAGAAATCTGAACCTTGGGGCCTCCCTGATGGCACAAGGGGTTAAGAACCGCACTATGAAGCAATCCGCAGCCTCCACAGCATGAGTTCGATCCCCAGCCGGGCTAGGAGCAACCCACATTGCGCAGCAGACCTCTCCTGTCTCTCCTGCTGCTCCCCTCAGCAGTGTATTTCAGTCAGTCTGCCTGTTCTGTTCCCCACTCTGTCTCTGGTGAATCCTCTCACCCCCCGCATCTCTGGCCTGTACCCCAGCTCTTGTATGCCGAAATAAATAAATCTTTAAAAAAAAAATGGGCAGAAGAGCTAAAAAGAAATTTCTCCAAAGAGGAAATGCAAATGGCCAACAGGCATATGAAAAAATGTTCACCATCACTTGTAATCAGGGAAATGCAAATCAAAACTACAATGAGATACCATCTTACACCAGTGAGAATGGCACATATTAAAAAAAAAACAACTAGGGTCTCCCTGGTGGCGCAGCGGTTGAGCGCTGGGTTGTGAAGCTGCCCGCAGCCTCTGCAGCACCGGTTCGATCCCTCGCTGCCGGCGAGGGTCCCACATGGCGCGCAGACCTCTCCTGCCGCCCACTGCTCCCTGTAGCAGTGTACATCGTCAGTCTGCTTGCTCTGCTCTCCCCTCTGGTTCTGGTGGATTCTCTCACCCTCCCGCGCTTCTAACTGTACCCAGTGCTTGTATAAATAAATAAATAAATCTTTAAAAAAAATAGCAAAATGAAATATTTATCACTGAAGTCCCAGTTATTATTGTTTTTGCTACCTTCTTTCTGGATGGCTTTTTAATGTGGTTTAGAAGATAATGTTTCCATTTTTCTTTTCATTCCCTTTTTTCTATCCTTCCTCCTCTCATTTTTTTTAATGCCAAAGAAGATACTAATTAGCAGTGTTGGAATCCAGCTGGGACTGAGATGTAGAACAGAAAGCATTTAGTCAAACTCCTTGTACAGGAATTCCCAACGATGGTCTTGGCTTCTGCTTCAGTACTTTGTCACTACCTGAGGAGGTGATGGGCCTGTCCCACTGCACGCAGTTATTCATTTGAACTTTAGGTTGTGAGTGAAAAGAATCCAGCTCAAATTGTTTAAGCAAAAGATGTAATTATGGGCCTCCCCGGTGGCGCAGCGGTTGAGCTCTGGGTTGTGAAGCTGCCCGCAGCATCTGCAGCGCCAGTTCGATCCCTGGTTGCTCCTGGGCTTCCGGAGGAGGGTCCTGCATGGTGCGCAGACCTCTCCTGCCGCCCGCTGCTCCCCTCAGCAGTGTACTTCGGTCCTTCTGCCTGCTCTGCTCCCCGCTCTGGCTCTGGTGAATTCTCTCACCCTCCCGCGCTTCTGACTGTACCCAGTGCTTGTATAAATAAATAAAATAAATAAAAATAAATCTTTTTTAAAAAAAAAGATGTAATTAGCTGCCACCAAAAATGAAATGTGACCAAGTGGCACTTGATGGATGTCTCCACATCCCTTCCTTGCTGTTTGTAATTATCTCCCCTGGTGGCCACCATCTGAGGTGCCTGGATGATTCTTTATAGCATGTGACCGAGTGTCTCATTCACCCAGCAGAAGATGATATTCCCCTTAATCATTTCAACACAGTGAAAGGAGTTAGCTTCAATGGACCAACTTGGATCACTTTCCTATGCCTCCAGAACTAATCAAGGTGTTGATGTAATTTCAAAAGAATGTAATTCCTGACTCAAGGCTGTGGTCACAAGCCCTGACTTGTTATTAAAAATTGAGTTAAGTCAGATTACGGTTGACTAAAGGACAGGTACTTTCCCTAAAAAAGTGGGCTGGTGGTGTTATAATAGAAGGGTTATAGTTCCAGGACACAACAAACAATTGACAAAGCTGTCCCTTCACTCACACTTTGCTCACGTCTGTCTTTTTCAGCGTTTCCTTCTTTTCTTGCAACTCCTGCAGATGTTTTCCCACTGTTACCCCATCGTAATTCTCCCAAAGCAACTGTCCTTTTTGCCTGTAGTCAATGATATACCTGGGGGGGGGGGCAAGCAGGGGTGGGGGCAGGAGGGGTGAATTGGGCATGGTGGTCTATTCCAAGTGTGTTGGCTATGCAGACTTTAAAAACAATCATGAAACCATTATTTAATCTTTTCATCATCACCATACTATAGTAATTCTAAACAGTGTCAGGATAAGATAGTCCTTAGGGGAAAAAAGACAAAACCAAGAAACACTATTTCTAGCACCACCAAGGCTTCCTTAAGGAAATGCCTTAATACTTAGTGGTCTCACTCCAATTCCTTCACAGATGCTGAGAAATTCAATCTCAGGCATGTTTAGGTTCCCTGACCTTATGGGGGTGCGGGAAGGTCTGGATTTTGTGACCAATAAGGTCTCAACGTCCTGTGAGTGTCCCTTTCTCCCTGGGATTACTTACCTCTAGGAGTGGGCTGTTCCTCCTTCCATTTCTCAACCTTTCCTGGGAGGGTACTGAGTAACCTCCTACCAGGGCCAATTCTTTGGGGGCTCCAAGTGGAGGAGAGATGCTCATTGCTAACAGTTCATTTTCCTGACTTGCTGGCTTCATTTCACTGGGATCCCCAAGGCCTTGCCAGATCCCCAGTAGTGCTCTAAGATGTTTTCAGAGTGGGGCCTGCAGGTCTTTCCTTGTTAAACCACATACCTACATGAGGGTGGATTGTCTTTATACCTTTCAATGAAAGCAATATATTGCAACAGATTGAATACAGAAGCAGACGTGAGAATCTGCTTATTTTCTCTAAAGCCAGACTTTAAACAACTATCACTCTTCTATTTTTGGGACAAATACAGCTATCTTTTTTTAATAAAAAAGGTAATTTATTGTTTTTAAATGAAAAAGTGTTTTTTAGTTTTAATTTACCTTTTGGTTAACATTGAAAGATACAAACCACATTAACAAAGCTTTTTGAACCATCAATCACATTTAGAGTTTAACATGGTCCTGAGACTAATCCTCTTAGGAACATGAGATGGTATCATTATTCCCACTTCATCAATGAATAAACCATGGCTCGGAGAAGGGAAGAGATCTGTCCTTTGCCGCACCACCATTACATGTCAAAGGTAGGATTCGAAAACCCAGCCTCGTGTTCAAGGTGCTTCTGTTTCAATGAAACCCACTCCTCACACAAAAGGACCACTTAGAAGTGCCTCTCTGAGCCACGTTTTCTCACCTGTGTAGTTTTCAACCTCACGAGACTGCTGGGGTGATTGTGCGTCAGATCACGAGCAAACGGTGCTATTAACCCCATATGCGTGTGTCACATCCCATTCTACAGAAAACTGAGGGTCAGAGACAAATGCCTATTGCGGTTCCACTATGGAGGGTGCCCAGCTTCCAGCTTCGCGCCAGGCCAGTGCGACCGTCCCCCACTTCCACCGCTCCAGACCCGCGTGGCCCATCTTTCCCATCCCCCACACCTCCCAGGCCCGTCTAGTCCCCAGATCCCACTTGGACCGCTTGTCTCAAAGTAACTAGCTCCCAGGTGCCGTGCTTCATCACTGGCGGCGCGGAACACCTCCCAATCCCTCCCGCTTGCCTCATTTCCGGCGCTGAGACCGGAAGTCCCTCTTCCGGTTCTCAAGACCGCGCTCCGGAAATGAGTCACTTTGCCAGTACCAAAGAGGGCGATCAAACCATCGTCCACCGTAGTTAATGGAGAAGAAGCTCGCCAAACCCGGAAGTTGCCCGATTCAACCATGGCAACCACAGGGGGCGTGACTTCCGGCGGCCCGCGTCTGCAAGTCCCGGCGGCTGGGTCGAGCGGAGGCGGTGGCTGACAGGCGCTCCTCCCCCCGACGGCGGCGCCTGGTGCCCAGGCGGGACCGGCGGCTACCAGCTCGCGAACCCGCGAGGCGCGAGGGCCGTACCGGGGGATGGACGAAGCGAAGATGGACGAGAATGAATGGGGATACCATGGCGAAGGCAACAAGAGCCTGGTGGTGGCCCACGCACAGGTGAGCGGCGGACCGTCGGCGTGGTCCCGGGCCTTTACCCTGCGTGGGGTCGGTTCCGTTTGCTCCACATCACACCCTTGGGTTGATACCACGTCCCACACTTTCTTGCTCCTTGGGTAGGTTCCTCATCTCCCCGGTATCATCTCCTCTGGTGGGTTCCGCGTCCTGCCAGCATCATCCCCTCCGGGTGGGTTCCATGTCCCCCCCTTTTCTCCTTCTCGTCCCCCCCGGGTAGATTCCTCGTTCCCCGAACGTTATTCCTACCTCTGTACCTAACCGGCACCTCTGCCCCTGCCTTTCACTGGTTCGGTACCACGTGCAGTCTCACGACGTGCTGCCTCCAACAGCTCAGCCGCGCTGGGGCGGAGGTTGTGCGGTGAGGACTCCTGTGGTAGCCTGAGCCAGTGCGGAAGGCGAGGGCGGCCCTGGAGGAAGAATTGAAGTTCCTGGGATGCTGTTACCGCCAAACACCAATTAGAGCCTCGTGAGACTCGTGGAATTGCTGTTCTGTCTGCTGCTGCTAATAATAATGGAGCACTGCCCACAGGTTCTTCCCCACAATCTTTCAGAACTTAAAGGGTTTCCTTTCTTAAGTCAGTGAGAGTGAGAGTTTCAGAAAGTTTAATAAAGATTCCCAAGGAGGTGAATCCAGGAGGAGGAATATGTGGATTTGTGTGAGGCGCACAGGTCTCTGATATTTTGCTGTCTGATACAAGCAGGCAGGAATATGGTAGGCTGGGGAGGTGAGGGAGTTGATAGGTATCCTGAGGGGTTAAGAGTAAGGGAGTTGGAGTCACACTTCGCTGGGTGGAGTCCTGATTCTACCACTACCTGGCTGAGGCTCCCCTTTATGCATTTGCAGAGTGGAACTAGTAACAGAATCCTCTTTGAGGAATTGCTTGAAAGGTGAGATGGGCAGGAGCTGGATAAGTTATGCTGAACAAGTCAAACTATCCTTCTCAGAGGAGACCTCAGAGGTTCAGAGCCCTGAACTGAGTACAGCAGCTTGCACCGGCCTTGACCAGGCCCTGCTCTGTTGTTCCAGTGTTGGGCACATTGGGTTGGCTCTAGAGTAAGCTTCAGTCTACCAGGTGGCACTTACCGTCTGCCTTTGGGCTTTGTTACCCATTAGCACAATTGAGAAACTAAAGAACAGAGACAGCAGGCTTTGCTCAAGATCTTTAGTTGAATTAATAATGGACAAGGCCTAACCTGAGGCCTCTGTGCAGTCTGCTGGGTTTCCTTGTGTTTCAAGGTCAGGTGAGGTATGATGTGAGTCCCTTTTATTGTTGGGTTATTTGGGCAACCCCTAGGTACATTCATAAGACACACATTCATTTTCCAATTCCTTAGTAAGGTTGGATGGTGTGTTTGCATTTTATATAAAACTAAGACATTTAGTAAGGCTCATGTACTGAGTTTCAAAAATAGTGTCAAGTGAAGGAGTAAGCTCCAGACTGGAGTAAAAGGACACCCAAGAAGAGCATTTGGCTGTCTTTTCCACCATCTTGCCAAGTGAGTGTTCGCCTCTAGGGCAGTTCCCCCATCCACCCTTCAAAGCTTGTGTTTCTTTTCCCTTTTAAACTCATCAGGCTTCCCTGGGCCTGTGCTCATTCTTTATTTTAAGTCTAAATTTGTTCTGCTATGCTCATTCCTGCTTGGTGATTGTTGGCTCATCATTTGAACTTAAAGATTATTATTGCAACTAGTCTTACACAAAAATGTTTACAGTGAGTGAAGGGAGAACAGTCTCCCTTGGCTGTGGAGAAATCTTTGCTCTGCCTGGGCCTGGGCAGCTGGGGAGGGGCAGAGAGCCTAGTAGATTTTCAAGACCCCACTGTGCCCATGTGAGCATATGTATGAGTGGGACAAAGAAGTGGACAAGTGAGAAGAGTGGCCTTTCCAGGTTTGTTAGAGATTGAAAGAGGGCCACTTTCTTAGAGAAGGCATCATTTACTCTTAGAACTAAAAAGTTTGTTCTCTTTCCTGTCTGGTATCAGAAGATGATGTACCTTTGGGCAGCCAGTCCTGAGGCCTAGCATCTTCACCGGCACACTATGAGAGAGACTGAGACAGTCTCTGACAGTCTCATCCTTCACGGTTAGTGAGTCAGGAGAGGCTTCCAGAATTCTGGACTTGTAGAAAGCAGGACCTGGAGATAGAGGAGCTAAGTGCAGCTGCAGGAGGGGGTGGGATTGGGCAGTAAGAGGACAGTGAGACCCTGACAAAGGCCCATTCCCAACAGGTTACCATCAGCTTCCCTGAAGCCCCTTCACACAGGGGAGGCTGGATGCCTGTTTGTATCACTCAGCCCAGTGTCCAGCACCTTGGGTACAGCTGTGCAGTCAGTCCTCTCCCAGGCACAGGCCCTTGGCCATGGTGCCAATACTCTGGGCTGGCCTGGCTTGGATCTTGTGGGTACCTGGATTTCCAGGTTCTGACCTTGTGGGAGGGGTCTTGGGCATGGACACTTCCCTAGTGGCACATGCTTTGCTTACTTCAGCTGACAATGCCGTCACTTGTTCAGTGGCCATAGCATACCGACTGCTCAGGCTGAGCTATGGTCAGTGAAGCCTGAACCTGCCCTCACATGCACTGCTGCTGAGTTGGCTTTGTCTCCTATGGGGCGCCTTCCTCACCTTCTTATGTCTAGTTGGCTTACGTTCAGCATCCTGTCCTGTGAAGGTCACTCTAAGTCTGGTTTGTCATTTGATCTCTTAAGTGCCTTCAGTGTTGGGAGTGAATGGGGCAAGCAGGGCAGCCAGCTGTCTCTGGGCACTGGGTACAGGGTGCACACTTGCTACACCCTACATTACACTGAGTGTTTGTGACCTTTTCCTTTTTGACAGAGGTTGTGTAAAAGTCAACAGGACCTTTATTGAGAGCATGGAGGAAGCACTTATTCTGATCTTTTCAGGTTTTGTAGCCTAAGATTCTGGCCCCTTTCTGTGACGTGATGTTCTGGTTCCTGAGAAGGTAGGCTCAAGGTGTTGTCTGGGCTTTTCTCATTTTGTGCTTTAGGATTTCTAGTTTCTTGTTATTCTTCTTAATGAAGATGTTGCAAATAAGTGTTACTTTCTAGGTTTTTGGGGAATATGGCATATTCCCAAGTATAGGCCACTCCCTTCTTTAATTTTCTCCTGAATGTAGTTTAGAGTCTTAACTTTCAGATGCCTAGTTTTTTAAACAAGTAATTTATTCTGTATTTGAGATTTTTAATGGTAATCTTCCAGGTTGGTGAGCTGCTGTAACTTCTCTCTCTCTCTCTCTCTTTTAAATCTTTTCTTATTTTTTTTAAAGATTTATTTATTTGTTTGTTTGTTTGTTTATTTATTTATTTGTTTATTTATTTATTTATACAAGCACTGGGTATAGTCAAAGGTGCCGGAGGGTGAGAGAATTCACCAGAGCCAGAGCAGGGAGCAGAAAAGGCAGACGGATGAAGTACACTGCTGAGGGGAGCAGCGGGCAGCAGGAGGGGTCTGCGCGCCATGTGGGACTCTCTCCGGTGGCCGGGGATCAAACCGGTGCTGCAGAGGCTGTGGGCAGCTTCACAGCCCAGTGTTCAACTGCTGCGCCACCAGGGGAGGGAGGCCCTGTGACTTCTCTCTTGAGTGAGCTCCTGGAGCTCATCGGAGAGCTCTGTGTTTGCCTACCTTTGTTTATTCCTGGAATTATCTGCAATTGAATGACAGCTCCAAACTTAGGATTTGTTATTTTCAAACCGTGTTCCCTTTGGTGATTTCCAGCCCCATGACTGGGCTGGGCCTTGGTAAGTGCCACGCTCTGCCTTCCTATTGTTTGAGATGCTGTTCATCCAGGCCTGGCCTCCTCAGTGGCGTGGCAGCTCCCTGCCCATGACTCCTTTTTCTCAGAGCTTGGTCAGGATAGCAGTGGCCCTATTTATTTCTGTCTTCTTGGAGATGTGATACCAAGAAGAAGTTTCTGGGAAGTGTCTGTGTCTGCTGCAATAGGATGAGTGTGTTTGGACACCTGCTTGGAGCCATTATGCGGCCTGGGGTGGCTGGGAGGCCATGAAGTCCCGGCAAACCTGCTCATGCTGCTGAGGACACTCACTGTGTTCTGTGCCTTGTGGTCTGTCTTCAGAACTCTCTTGTCAGGCTGTCAAATTTTTGATCCTTAGGAACCACCTGAGTGTCCTGTCCCCAAATGTTACCTCTCTTACACCTCCACTGTCCCGTCCCTTGTGTACAATTCAGTCTAGGGGCAGCTGGGAGTCCAGATGGAGCAGTGGAAGCTTGGGAAGAAAAGTGTTTTGCCAGCCCAGGCACCTGCTGGCCTTACCTGCAAGCTGCCACCTTTGTGTGGTCTCCCTGCAGAGCCCTGGGCTTCCTTGATGGGACATCTTGTGATATCACTCCTCACCCTCTGGCTGTCAGTTTCCCTGAGGTGTCCTGTCTACCTTTTCCCCCCTCTTATCCACTGCTTGTTGAGAAAAGCTTTCTTGGGTACCTGCTGGTGGTGCCTCATCTTCCCTGACAGGAAAGGTAGGGCTGAGCCATTTGAGGAAGTCTCGGGCGGCATCTGATAGGTGATTCCTTCTGTTATATTTGTCTGTCTTCCTTTCTCTTGAAAGTCACCTGATCTGTACATTCTTGGGGTCTTTTTGCAGCCCCTTCCTGGGTCATCTCTCCCTCTGCAGGACATCCAGCCTGGGCCTGTCTTCTAGCAGGCTGGCTGCGGCATGAGACACCGATCGATGCCCTGGTGCTTAATTCCACCCACAGATGCCCTCCCTTGGTCTTATTTGGTGGGGAGGGGAGGCAAGTGTCACTTTTAATATGTTATCTTCTGTGGTCTTTGATTATTATTTAACACTTAGTGTATTTTCTTCCATTATATTCTTTTGTTGGCCAGTCAAGAATCCTGCATATCTGTTTTCATGTACTGCTTTTTCACAGAAACTTACAAAAAAAATATGTAAAATATGTAGAAATGTGCACATGCATATCAAACACTTCACTCCTTTCTTCAAGGCCTTCAATCCTTCGTCTTTGAGGCCATAGAGTCTCAGGACTAGAATTCCTATTATTGTGCTTTGAGAGTGATTACAAGCAGATTTGCTGAATGTTTGACCACTTAAGTGGTTCTCAGAGGGGATCCAAGGGCGCAACTCTCAGGCCCCTGAGAGTTGTACGGGTCCATGCCCTTGACATGGGCCCGGGACTCTCAAAAACACAGTGCTATGACAAGTCATACCCAGTTAACTCCCTACATTTTGAGGCTGTGTGATGTGCTGATGTGTTTGTATGTGTCACTCCTCTGTGGGCTATTTTCAGCTTGTTAAAATTCTTTGTTTTCATCTAGCGTTCAGGGTATGAGCAGGTGCTGTATGTTTCTATCACCAAGGACAGAAAAGGTGGGCCTGATCCCAGAACTGTACAAAAACCTCACTTAGCCCCTCAGCCATGTCCTTCCACTATCTTAGCATTTGGTCCTAGACATTAGACATCTAGTTTCAGATACTCATTTTAAAAGGAAAAGAGTTATTTCCTTCATGGCTGGAAAGATCTGTTCAGGCTGGTGGCTTCCTGGTGCTTACCAGGCTTCATGGCAGGAAACCTGTGTGGCTGCCTCAGTCCAGATCTGTATGGTGGTTCTGTCTGTGAGGGCTGGTATGGTTGAATTCTCATCTCCGTTGTCTGGAATTAGGGTCTCTGCATATCAAATTGTCTTTCCCCTTGAATATTGATGAATTGTAATTTCTTGGAAACAAGCCTTTTTCTGCCCATTTTAGCCTGGACTACGGAGAGGAGGACACTGTGCTTGATTGTGATTTCCCTAAGTCTGGGTTTGGGGCCCAAAGATGTGGTGTCTTTCCTGGGTTTTGAAAGTAGCATGCCATGTCTTTGTAGGGTCAGAGGGGCTGGGGAGGCTGATCTGGTCTCCAGGAGAGCTTGCTCCTCAAGCATTTTTCATTTAGAAAGCCGCTTTTTTGGCTCTCTAGCACAATGGATAGCACATTGGACTTCTAGAAAGCCACTTTTTTTTAAAAAAGATTTATTCATTTATAAATTTATTCACTTACAAATTTATAAATTATAATATATAATTATAAATAAATATTAATATAAATGTAATTAAATATAATTATATTTATTTATAAATTCACTTATAAATTTATTCATTTATAAAGAGCTGGGGTACAGGTCAGAGGCATGGGAGAGTGAAAGGATTCACCAGAGAAAAAGCGGGGAGCAGAACAGGCAGACCAACTGAAATACACTGCTGAGGGGAGCAGTGGGCAAAACAGGAAAGGTCTGCCGCGCCATGTGGGTATCTCCCTAGCGGCAGGGAATTGAACCTGCGCTGCAAAAGCTGCAGACAGCCTCACAGTAAGGACCTCAACCCACTGCGCCACTGGGGAGGCCCTAGAAAGCTGCTCTTTTAACCTTTCCTCAATCTGCCACCCCTTCCTGCCCCGCCGGCCTGGCTCGGAGTGCTCTACCTCTCTGGGCAGGTATGACTTCCCAACTTCATTCTGCCTGGAGTTTCGTCTCCCACCAGGAGTGGAAGTCCTCCAGTCAGAATTAATCTCTCCATTACTAGGACTTCTCCTACCTCCAAGATATTTCTTTGCAGAGTGGCTGTCTCAAATGCTATGCTTGTTTAAAATGTTTTTGTTGTTATTTTTTTTAAACTGGCTGAGTTTTGAACCTTATGCAAATATAATTATACCTACACATCATTTGTATGTTTGTAGTGTGCATGTATGAACACAGGCTCATTCTGTAAGCACTACTCCATAGCTGTTTCATTTGTCAGTAGAGGATAGGCTGTACCTCTGTGCATATAAATGTCCATTGTCTTTATTTTCTTATAATTGATGGCACATATTCCATGTTCCAGAATGTGTCCCACTGTACTTCCCCACTCCACTATTTGCAGTTACATTCACATCTTTTAAATGTAGCTACTAAGATCATTTGCACATCCTTAATTATATTCTTTTTTTTTTAAAAGATTTATTTATTTATATAAGAACTGGGGTACAGGCCAGGTGTGCGGGAGGGTGAGAGGATTCACCAGAGACAGAGCGGGGAACAGAATAGGCAGACTGATGAAATACATTGCTGAGGGGAGCAACAGGCGAGACAGGAGAGGTCTGCTGCACCATGTGTGGCCCTCGCCAGCCGGCCAGCAAGGATCAAACCGGCGCTGCAGAGGCTGCAGACAGCTTCACAGCACTGCGCTCAACTGCCTGCGCCACCAGGGGAGGCCGCTTAATTATATTCTTAAGATAAATTCCTGGCAATGGGTTTGCCAGGGCAGAGGGCACAATTTTTCCTGCTTTCGCTCTGGCTCTAGTGTGTCCTTGGGCGTGATTGGTGCTGGCCTCCCCTTCCCGGAGTAAGTACTGGGTGTCCCAGCCATCTCCTCCACAGCCACCTACCCTTCCTGGACTTTGGGCAGTTGCTAATCAGTCTCTTCTTTGTTTCCAATAGCGTTGTGTGGTGCTGCGTTTTCTGAAGTTTCCTCCAAATAGGAAGAAGGTAAGATTGTCTGGCTTACCACTTAGTAAATAAAGCAATTATTTTTTTTTTTTTTTTTTTTATAGAGGCATGTTTTTTTTATTTATTTATTTATTATATTTGTTTGTTTTGTTTATACATGCACTGGGTACAGTTAGAAGCGCGGGAGGGTGAGAGAATTCACCAGAGCCAGAGCGGGGAGCAGAGCAGGCAAAGGGGCTGAGGTACACTGCTGGGGGGAGCAGCGGGCGGCAGGAGAGGTCTGCGCACCATGTGGGATCCTCCTCCGGTGGCCGGGGAGCAGCCGGGGATCGAACCGGCGCCGCAGAGGCCGCGGGCAGCTTCGCAACCCAGCGCTCAACCGCTGCGCCACCGGGGAGGCCCCAAATAAAGCAATTATTTAAGAAAACTTTGATTATTTTTCTAGACACAAAAGTATCATGCTAATCATAGAAATTTAAAAATGATGCAAGCATTTGCTGCAATTAGTGGTGTGGCCATCATTCCTGCTGGATCCAGCACTTTGACCTGTTGGGGTCACTATGTGTCATGTGGTGAGTCCATGTCTAGTTCAGAAACTCTGCTTGTGACGGGAATTCCTAGGATCAGCTGTCAGCGTTGTAGTAGTGATGTCCTTACACCCTGCTGCCTCAGTTTCCCCATTTGTAGGATTGTATACGTGAAAGTGAAGTCTGTGATACTGCAGTATACAGCTTTATAGGTCACAACAGGGCGTTCTGATGGAACATTTCTGTTTGCTGAGTTGGGTTTCTGTTTGTTGAGTTGTCCAAGTAGTCCTTTGGATGCACTCAGAAAGTCTTATGTCACACACTGGCTGACCTTGAGGTGGATATCGCTGTTCAACTTATCTAAATTGCAGTGGCCTCAGGGAGATATGGCTGCTCCTCTTTTTTTTTTTTTAAAAAAAAGATTTATTTATTTATATAAACTCTGGGTACAGTCAGAGGCACGGGAGGGTGAGAGAATTCACCAGAGCCAGAGCGGAGAGTAGAACAGGCAGAGTGATGAAATACACTGCTGAGGGGAGCAGTGGGCGGCAGGAGAGGTCTGTGCACTATGTGGGACCCTTGCCTGGCGACCGGGGATCGAACCGGCACTGCAGAGGCTGCGGGCAGCGTCACAACCCAGCACTCAACCGCTGCACCACCGGGGAGGCCCCAATGGCTGCTTCTCTTTTGTGACCCTCGTGGGAAGGAGGTGCAGCTCTTACCTTGAAAAGGAGAAAAGGCAGAGCTGGCCATAACCTGCAGTGGGTAGGGTAAAAATTGAGCACAGAATCTTGGTGTAGGAGACGCTCTCACATCTGAGTGAGGCGGGGAACAGCCAGAGGGAGGTGAGTTAGGTGGCCATGGGTTGACTCTGGGGATGAGGGCATGTAAGGAGTTAGTGTGTTAGAGACGAGGGGAAAGGGCGCTGCTGGGACAGAAGTATCATGCAGGGGACACAGTGGTCAGTGCAGAGGACGTGTCTGCGGGGAGAGAACGGCGGGTATTTCCTGGCTCAGTTGCTGAAGGGCAGTGCCAGGGTGTCCTATTAGTGTTGAACTTCTAAGTATAAATTAGAACTGTTCCAACTGCCTCCAGCTTCCCAGCTGCCAGCTCTGTCTGCAGAGCACAAGCTTGGGGATACCCAGTGTTCTCCCAATGCCTCTACCAGCAATTCCTGTTTAGATTTCTTTTTTAAAAGATTATTTATGCGTACAGAGCTGGGGTATAGGCCAGAGATGGGGGGGTGAGAGGATTCACTAGAGACAGAGTGGGGAGCAGAACAGGCAGATCCACTGAAATACACTGCTGAGGGGAGCAGCGGGTGAGACAGGAGAGGTCTGCTAAGCTATGTGGGTCAGCTCTCTGACCGGCAATCAAACTCGTGCTGCAGGGGCTGCAGATATCTTCGTAGTGCTGCAACTTAACCCCTTGCGCCACTAAGAAGGTCCCTGTTTAGATTTCTTGAGGCACTGTCTTCCAAGATAGCAGTTTGCCTTGATTTGTCACATAAATGGCATAATGTGATACCATTTGCATTGTTGGTGGGGAATCATATGGTAATTCTGTTGACAAAAAGAGCTTTTTGTCAGCTTGTGCCAGAGCTGATCAACCACTGAATGTGTCTGGGGCTTTCTGCCACTGTTATGCTACTCTCCCCCAGGATCATCATCAAGTAACCCCACTGCTGGAGAGATGCTCACCACCAATCTTTGACCTCTTCACCTTGGTTCAAACTGAGAGACAGGAAACTTCCTTTCTCATCAGAGTCCCACAACCTGTCTACTCTTTAAGAGCCCTGGACTAGGGAGAAAGTAGTTTATTCTGTAGTTGGAGGCTGAAAAATAAAATTTACCTGGTGGTTTTTATTTTTATTTTTTTAAAGATTTATTTATGCACATAAGAACTGGGGGACAGGCCAGAGCTGTGGGGATGAGAGGATTCACCAGAGACAGAGTGGGGAACAGAACAGGCAGATTGACTGAAATACACTGCTCAGGGGAGCAGTAGATGAGGCAGGAGAGGTCTGCTGCGCCATATATGTGGGTTACCTCCCTAGCCAGGGATTGAACTCGTGCTGCTGTGGCTACGGATAGCTTCATAGTACTGCGTCTTAACCCCTTGAGCCACCAGGGAGGCCCTACCTGGTGGTTTTTAGACTAGAGAGATTGTCAAAATCAAACTTCTCAGAAGGCATGTGCAGGCTGTTTTTCAGAGGTGGGGAGGAGAGTGGCAGTCAATTGGGGTTTTAAAATCATGTGGGGACCTGGATTAAAGTGCAGAGGTGAACCTGGGGACTTCAGGGGGCAGACCCCTACAGGGGGTCAGACTCTGTGGTGAGGCTTACCTCCCGCTGAGTCCAAGGCCACCAGCTTCTGTTGTGGTAGCAGATTTCCTCCCTCAGATACCCATCCCTGAGTCTTTCTGTGCTTGTCTTTTGTAGACCTCAGAAGAAACATTTCAGCACCTGCAGAACATAGTGGACTTTGGCAAAAATGTCATGAAAGAGTTTTTGGGGGAGAACTACGTTCATTGTGGGGTAAGTGATTTCTGTGTATGTAGTCCAATAGGGGTTGTGTTCTGTAACAGTAATACCAACTTCTCAATTATAGTTTGGAATTTGTACTTAATGACAATGCCTTGTGTAGTTATAGTTTCCAAGATCATCTTTGCTGCAATGTGGAGGGAGCACAGCAGATAGTATTAGCACATCTTCCAGCTGAGAAGCACCAGGGTGCGAGAGACTGAATGAGAGCCCTACTTTCTGGCACCCCAGCTTTCCACCTCTCTGACTCCCAGAGCCATCAAGCTTGGTGAGAGAGGCTTTCCAAAGAGGCTCAGGCAGTGAACCTGAAGGGTTGGCTCTCACCTTCTGACATTGGTGGGCACGTTTAAAAAAAAAATTATTTTATTTATGCATACAAGAGATGGAGAGGGAGTGAGAGGATTCACCAGAGCAGAGTGGGGAGCAGAACAGGTGGATCCACTGAAATACACTGCTGAGGGGAGCAGCAGGTAAGACAGGAGGGGTCTGCTTGCGCCATGTGGGTTAGCTCCTTGGCTGGGGGTCGAATTCGTACTATGGTGGCTGCTGATAGCGTCCTAGTGCTGAGACAACATCTTGTGCCACCAAGGAGACCCTGGTGGGCACATTTGAGGGAAGTTAGGGAGAATACCCCACACCAGGAGGTATGCCCCTATCTCATGGGAGAGCTCAGCTAATGGCCCATGTGGGGGCAATGGGCTCTCCCTGCCTGGTGGGCGATCTGTATTGCTGGCTTTTTCTTTCTCATGGAACCAAGAGGAATGTCTATTATAGGTGAGGTCCATTATTTTAACCCTTTGCACTCCGCTGTCCCCTCTCAGGGGACATTGGTAGCCAATGTCCAGAATGGTTCGGAGTGCAAAGGGTTAATTGCAGAGGAGGGGCCATGCAGGAAGCCAAAGGGACTCTGCAGTCATGGTGATCCTCAGAGCAGGTGGCCTGGTCCCCTGCCTGGGACAGCCACTTTTGTGTGTCTGCTTCTGCTGCTTAGATCAGAGTACTGAACAGATTAATAGGTTTGCCATTCTGACTTAGAGAGCACTGCCTCTACTTTGCAAATCCCAGCACCTTGTGTTTATCCTGAGGAAAATGATACGAAGGAGGTCCAGTGGGAGTTACTTTGAAGCTCAAGGATTGCCTGATAAATAGAATTTAAACAGCTCTGCCAATCAAGTGTCCTCCAAAGAGGGACCTTTGACATACTAGGTTGTACTGGGAGTGGTGGTGGTGGGGTCCCTGTGGACTCTGGACCCTCTTCCAGGGTGACCCATGGATCCGACCAAGCTGGGTAGCTGTTGGCTGGGGCCTCAGCAAGACTACAGGGCTCTGAATCCTGAGAGTGCCCTGAGAGAGAACCTGTCCGGAATTGTGTCTACATTTCTATTACATGTTGTGGTTTCACGGGTCAGCCCCAGGCAGTGTGGGATTACAGGGGCACTTGTCATTGGTGCCACCCTGGGTGCTGGTACCACAACCACCTGTCCAGATGAACTATGAAAATCCCAAATTTGCCAGCTGTGAGAGTTGCTGCGCTTCTGACCTGCCTGTGCTGTGTGTACTGCCTACTTCTTGGCCTGGCCACTATCTGAGTGAAGGCCAGTGCTGATGAGAGAGGAAGGTCACATTCTGGGATATCTGGCTATTGACATTCCTCCTCTGTGTGAAGAGATCTGCGAGAGTGAGATACAGCCTGCTTATCCTCCAGGTGGTGTCATGAGACAGAGCCACTCAACCTGGCATGGTGGGAAGACAGATACAGAGTGAGGCTCCAATAGGGCTGGTGCAAGACAGTACTTAGGTACAACCAGAATGAGTAAAGATGGTGTTTTCTCTGACTCCTGACATGAGTTAGAACAAAGCAGGGCCCTCTAGAGCATTTCCTCCTGTATGTCCTGGGACAAGGCCAGCTCCATGATGACAGTGATAGACACACCCTTCACACCTACACTGCCTCAGCCCTGCCTGGCTGGTCTGGAACTGGTCTGGGCCTGTCTCCATGGGAGCTGGAGGGTTAGAAACAGGGAAGAGTCTGGCCTCCTTGTTTTTCTAGGCATTTGCTGTGCAGATACCAAAGTAGATGAGACATAGGTATTTTAGGAGTTTTATCACCATTCTGTGGATCTGATCCTCTGGAGGATAGGCAGTACCTGAGCAGGTACCTGTTTCATATTTGAACTTTACTCCATAGAAATGTTAGCTGGACCACAGCATGTACTTAGTGAGGCCATGCTGTTTTTCCAAAGCTTCTGAAAGAAAGTGGGCGTTCTGCCTACCTGCTTGATCCTTCCAGATTGGTGGCCTTTGTCCTCTCTGCAGCCATACCTATCCCTTTGAGGAAATTGGTGTGGCCACACCTCTGGGCACCTATCCCAGTTCCAAGGCACACTTAAGCAAGAGGAATCTTTTTTTTTTAAAGATTGATTTATTTATACCTACAAGAATGGGGGTACAGACCAGAGGTGCGGGTGGTGAGAGGATCCACCAGACACAGAGTGGGAAACAGAACAGGCAGATTGAATGAAATACATTGCTGAGGGGAGCAGCGGGTGAGTCAGGAGTGGTCTGCTGTGCCATATGGGTTGCTCCCTGGCCAGCCGGGGAATCGAACTTGTGCTGCAGAGACTGCAGACAGCTTCTTAGGTTAAGCAAGAGGAATCTTAACTGGTTCTTCTTAAGTTTAGTATATTGTGCAGGTGCCAATGTCTGTGCTCCAGAGGTCAGGCAGAGTGATCCATTGGTCAGGCAGAGTCTGAATCAAGGGTTGATGAATGTAGCAAACATTTAAAAGGATGCTGACTATGAACATTTTATTTTGAGTTGGAATACAATCAGAATGCACATAAACTCAGGAATTTAAAGTTGTTGGTGATTATGGACTTAGCTGGGCAGTTAGCAGATGCTCTGTCTAGTTGTGGGATCCCTGGATATGGACTTGATCCTGCTGCTCTCTACATTTCTGTGCTCATATTTGCAACTCCTGTGACCAAAGCTTCTCCCAGCGGGTGCAAGTTGGGTGCATGGACTGAGGTGTCGTCACCAGCACCTCCCAGCTTTGTCCTTGTGATGTGCCCTTTCTAAGAGAGGATCTTGATGCAATTACTTTATCTTTCTTGGCATAGATGGTTAATCTGCCATCCAAACTCTTTGTACTTTCTGTTTCTTTACAGTAGAGTGAGAGCTAGAATTTTGTGAGTTGATCCCAGTTTGAATTTTTACAGTTCCACCTCTTTCATTGTTTCACCTAATCTAATTCAGAGCTAATTTTTTAATAACTCACCCTTTGTTATTTTATAGCATGTTTAGGGTAAATGACAAGTCATGAGTTAAGGTGGCACAGCAGCTTGGGAAGGAAATGATTGAACCATGGCACTCAGCAGAAAGCATGTCTGTAGGACAGGCAGCCAAGTGCCATTATGGGCCAGAGGTGGGACTGGGCCCCAGCATTGTCTTCTAAGCAGGTCTCTCACAGCCCTTGGGACTTCTTCAGAAGTCAGAAACTGCCACTCTGGAAACACGGGTTGGGTTGTAAGCAATGTGGCTTAAATAAAAATTTTTATTTTGGGAAGATGTAAAGAAACAGCAAAGCAGAGAGAAACTATGCTTGTTTTCTACCATAGTACACTGAGCTGTGAGGCCAGTGGGAACACGGACATTTCCCCAGAAATTGCTGTTGGATCAAGGTCTTGGCTTCCAGCCATATCTCAGGGGGAGTGTGACCTGCAGGGGGCCTGCAGGGACACCTGGTGAAGATGTTTATGTAGGTATCCACTGCCACAGTCCCACTTTGTTACCCAGGGACTGATGAGGGAGGATAGGAGGAGCATGTGAGGATCACTTGACATCACCTGCAGTGACACTGGCTTGGGTCGCTACTGGGTGACACCAGCTGTTCTGAGACTTGTCACTCAGTGCATGGAAACCACTAACATCTCTGTTTGATCTGGTCATGTCTTTAAAATCAAGCACTTTAGGGCCTCCCTGGTGGCACAAGGGGTTAAGTCTCAACCTATGAAGCTCACCATAGCCACTGCAGCACGAGTTCAATCCCTGGCCAGGGAGCTACCCACATGGCGCAATCAGACCTCTCCTGACTTGCCCACTGCCCACCTCAGCAGTGTATTTCAGTCATTCTGCCTGTTCTATTCCCCACTCTGTCTCTGGTGACTCTTTTCACCCCCCACACCTCTGGCCTTTACCCCAGTTCTTGTATGCATAAAGAAATAAATCTTAAAAAAAAACAACAACAAAATAAAATCAAGCACTTGACCCTAAAACTCAGTGAGTGTTTTCTTATTGTGATAAAATATGCATAACACAATTCACTATTTTAACCATTTCTTTTGAAGATTTATTCATAGAGTGAGGAACAGAACAGGCAGATCTACTGAAATACACTGCTGAGGGGAGCAGCGGGTGAGATAGGAGAGAGGTCTGCTGTGCTATGTGGGTTAACTCCCTGGCTGGCTAGGGATTGAACTTGTGCTGCAGTGGCTGGTGATAGCTTGATAGCACAGTCTTTAACCCCTGGGCCACCAGGGAGGCCCTATTTTAGCCATTTTTAATTGTGTAGTTTTGTGACATTATGTTCACATTGTTGTGCAACCCATACTGAGTATTTCATATTTGTTCTTACAGGAAGTTGTTCGACTGCCTTTAGATTTTGTGAAACAGCTTTGTTTAAAGATTCAGTCTGAACGACCAGGTGAGGGTCTCTAACTTATCTCTTATAACTCTTTCCCTCCCCATCTACTCTCATTCCTTGTCATCACCTTATGTTTCTTTCTTGTCACCGCCTGTATCATCCTCATCACATTCCATTCCCTTCCTGCACTTATCGGTGGTATAATGACCTCCTCCTACTTTCCTCTCACAGTCAGAGAGTAAAGATGTAGATAGAGTTCATGTTGTTGAGGATGGACATGCCTATTCCTGAAGCGCAGCCAGCATCAATTATGGAGGGCTTCTACAGCATTCCTGCCCTGGGCCTCCAGTTGTGGGGGCAGTGGGAGTAGGCCTCCAGAGTAACATGAGGAGGTGGATAGAGGCTGTGTCATATCCAAATTGGCTCCATTCCTCATTTAGACAAAGTTCTGCCCGGCAGCAGGTGTTGGAGCCAGTGAAGAGAAGGTAAGGGCTGCTGCCCTTCCTTTGAGCTCTGGGTGAGGGCCTTGCATAGTTGTATAATGAGGGGCCGGTCCTTGAGGCCCCTCCCTTGTCACAACAGTTAGACAATTGGGCATCTCCATGATCCACCTCAGATTTGATAATTGCTGATAGGACCCACAACTCATTGTCACCCTCATGGTTGTGACTTCTCACAGCCAAGGACAGAGATTAAACCAGCCAACAGAAGAGGTAGGCAGATCCAGGGGACCCTGGATGAGCTTCTAGGCATCCTCTCCCTGGAGTCAAATGAACCTCCCTTCTCCCAGCAGATGTGACAGACACATGAGGACTGCAGGAGGTACTTCCCAAATCCATGATGTCAGGGTTTCCATGTGGCTTGGTGTGTAGGCAGAGCTAAATAGTCACATGGTGTCCTTGACTCTGCAGAGGTCAGGCTGCTACTGAGGGTGTGAACCACACTGTTAACTATTGTTTGACTCAAGTCCCCATATAAATAAGGCAGGATTTCCCAAGGACTTGGGCTAACACCCCCCATAGTCTTCCAGGTCGTATCTCTTGTACCAATGCTCAGGTTCTTATTCTCCTTTCCAGAGTCGCGCTGTGACAAGGACCTGGACACCCTTAGTGGCTATGCCCTGTGCCTTCCCAATTTAGCCAGACTTCAGACCTACTGCTTTGCAGAGCACCGGCCGATTCTCTGTGTGGAGATCAAGGTGAACCTTGTCCAGGGGAAGTGGCATGGGGAGGGAAAGACAGACCTATGAGTCCAACAGTCATCTGCTTGGTACACTTCCCACAGCTCCAGGGCTGGAAATCCCCTTCCCAGGCTAGGAAATCCTTGCTTCTGCAGCTGCCTGCTCTGACTTCTACTGAGCAGACCCCAGATTTAGGCCCTTTCCTGGGCATTGTACATTTGGGCTGTAGGTATCCTACAGGTATCCTATAGCCCATGGGCACCAGAAGGAAGTGTGTCAGGTTTTGCCCTCTCTGTTTTCCCAGAAGGCCCAACTCACTGGGTGCCCCTGCTGACCTTCCACCATTTAGTGATAGGTACCACATGCTCCAAGAGCTTAGTTTGCAGTCACCCTCTTGACTGGGTAGCACCCCATTCCCTGGCTTCTGTTCTGTTTAGGAGAGACCTCCTCGGAGGCACAGACACCTGTATGACTTAAGGGCCAGGACTCTTTTGGTAGGGGTGACAAATGACATCAGTCTGGTGGAGGGCAGTGATGACTGCCTGAGGGCCATAGCACTGTCCTTCTCTGCTGCCCAGAGTCCAGGGGTGCCTGAGCCTCTCTCAGGAAAACTCCCCATATGTCTCAGGCTGATGGTTGTCTCCTTTCTCCAAATGTCTGTTGTGGTGACTGGACATCATGCCTTTGGCCCTGAGTACTCACACTGGATACTCAGTTTGTACTCATGTTCTGTCTCCCCACTCAGAGGGTCTCAGATTACTGAGGGGTAGTGTGTCTTCAGAGCTTTGATGTGCCTAAGTATGTGCCTTTGTGTTTTGTATGTGCCCAGAAACATGGCTTTTAAAAGGCATTTGAATTCTGGGACTTGCTGGGGCCTCAACACCCATCTGATGGCTACCGTCCTGTTCACATGTAATCAGAAAAGATGGGATTCTGGTCCATGGAGCTGGGTGCTTGGGGCAGATCTGTACTTGGAGTCTGTCCATCACATTCTTTAATGACACACAGAGATACTCTGTGTTGTACTTTGTCAAACCTTCAATTGAGATGCCACTGCCAGTGTTTTTCCTCACTGAGAATTCTGGCCTTGGACTCCAGCAGCAAAGAGGTGTTTTATTTTTTTTTTTTTTAAAGATTTATTTATGTATACAAGAACTGGGGTACAGGCCAGAGGTGTGGGGGGTGAGAGAATTCACCAGAGACAGAGTAGGGAACAGAACAGGTGGATTGACTGAAATACACTGCTGAGGGGAGCAGTGGGCGAGTCAGGAGAGGTCTGCTGCGTCATGTGGGTTGCTCCCTGGCCAAACAGGGATTGAACTCATTCTGCAGAGGCTGCAGATAGCTTCATGGGTCTTAACCCCCTGTGCCACCAGGAAGGCCCGGCAAAGAGGTGTTTTTGAAGTGCACTGAGTGGTGCATTATTTCCATGCGGGCTGAAAATAAAACCAACTTTTGGGGATGTTTAGCTCTCACACTTGCTGTCTCTCTGGCATTGCAGGTCACGATCTTGTAGTTGTTGTATGTCTCTCTGTTTATAGGTATGTGATGCCCTCTAAGCACTTTTCTTATTTATTTTGTAGCCAAAATGTGGGTTTATTCCTTTCTCCACTGACGTTACACATGAGATGAAGCACAAGGTGTGTCGTTACTGCATGCACCAGCACCTTAAGGTGAGAAAGCCTGCAAACCCCTGATTCCTTCTGCACAGAGCTGCCTGGTGGATAACTGGTCTTGCGGTGTGACCAGCAAGAGTTTTCAGAAGAGTTAAAGAAAAATGTAGATATTTATTATGTACTTTATTTCATAAGTAAGTCATGTTTACTATCTCTTATTTTAAATTGAGACAGTTCATATACCCCAAAAGTTACCCTTTTAAAATTTACACTGCACTGGATTTTATTATATTCACAGGTTATACAGTCATCACTAGTATCTAATTCCAGAACATTTTCATTACCTCACAAAGAATTCTGTCCCCATCAGCAGTCACTCTTCAGTACCCTAGTTTGCCAACCCCTGGCAGTCACCAATCTGCGTCAGTTTGTCTCTTCTGGCATTCCATGCTCTTTACTGAGCATGTTTTTGAAGTTCATCTGTGTTGTGGCACATAGAGCTTAATTCCTTTTGTGACTGAGTAATGTCCCAATGTATGGGAATCTTTTGCTTATCCATTCATCTATTAAGGGACATGTGGACTGCTGTAAATAATACTGCTATGAACATGTGTGTGCATGATCTTGAGCCCCTGTTTTCAGTTCCCTTAAGTGGATTCTCAAGAATGGAATTTTGAATCTTAGGGAAATCCTTTAACTTTTTTTTTTAAAAGAATTTGTTTATTTATTTATACAAGTACTGGGTACAGTCAGAAGCGTGGGTGGGTGAGAGAATTCACCAGAGCCAGAGCGGGGAGCAGAACAGGCAGACTGAGGAAACCCACTGCTGAGGGGAGCAGCGGTCGTGGCAGGAGAGGTCTGCATGCCATGTGGGATCCTCACTGGAGGCCGGGGATCAAACTGGCACTGCAGAGGCTGTGGGCAGCTTCACAGCCCAGCACTCAACTGCTGTGCCACCAGGGGAGGCCCAAATCCTTTAACTTTTTAACTTTTTGAAAAGATGTTGGGCATCTTTTCATATATTGGCCATTTGTATGTCTACTTTAGGAAAATGTCTATTCAAATCCTTTACCCTTTTTTTGTTTTAAGATTTATTTATTTATGCATTCAAGAACTGGGGTACAGGCCAGAGAAGCAGGGGGTGAGAGGATTCACCAGAGACAGAGCGGAGAACAGAACAGGCAGATCGACCGAAATGCACTGCTGAGGGGAGGAGCGGGCGAGTCAGGAGAGGTCTGCTGCACCATGTGGGTTGCTCCCTGACCGGCCAGGGAATCGAACTCGTGCTGCAGTGGCTGCAGATTGCTTCATAGGTTGTGTCTTAACCCCTTGCGTCACCAGGGAGGCCCCCTTTGCCCATTTTTTAATTGGGTTATTGTTTCTTCTTTTAGAAGTTCTCTATATGTTCTGTGTCTTAATTTTTTATGAGATTTGTGACTTGTAATTATTTTCTTCCTTTGTGCTTGTTGCTTTACACTGTGGATACATTGCGGATAGTGTCCTTTGATGTACATAAATTTTTAATTTTTGTAAAGTCCAGTGTGTCCATTTTTTCTTTTGTTGCCTGTGCTTTTGGTGTCATATCCAAGAAATCTTTGCTTAATTCAGGGTAATTAAGCTTTCTACCTATATTTTCTTCTAAAGATTTATAGTTTTTGCTCTTATGTATAGATCTTTGATCCACTTTGAGTTATAATTTGCATATGATGTTTAGTAAGGGTTCAACTTCATTCCTTTGTATGTGATTATCATTTTCCAAGCACTGTTTGTTGAAAAGACACCTCTTTCCCCATTGACTCGTCTTGATGCCTTATTGAAGAAGTTTTGGCCATATATATACTGATTAATTTCCATGTTCTTTATTCATCTGTTAGTCCTTATGTCATGTTAAAAGACAAAATTAAAAAATCTAATTGACGTTATTAGATGATTCATTAATTAGGCTGCACCCCATCTAGCAAGTGGAAAGCTGCTCTAGAGAACTGTACAAAATGTTGGGTTTTTATAGGCAGGAGTGGGTACAATAAGAAAGCAGATTCTCAGGTAAAGTCACCTTCCCTTAGGGAACAGGAGAGGTCTATCAGGTAGTTTACTTAACAGAGGAATTCCAGACTGACTAGTTAAGATTACATTCCTTGGAGTAGATTAAACTGCAATTAAGTTAGGAGTTAAGTCTTGGTTTGGTTATGTGGGGCTTAGCACAAATGATTCCATTGTGGGCGTATTGTCTCTTTTTAATAGTACCACATTTTTGATGCCTGTGACTTTGAGATCAGGAAGTATTAGTGCTCCAGTTTTATTTGTCTTTTTCAAGATTGTTTTGGCTATTTGGGCCTCTGTAGTTTTGTTGCTGTCCTCTTTCTGCTGTTACTGTCATACAAATTACATCTTTATCTATAGTATGTGTGTCAGTACATATTTGTAATAATTGCCTATGCAGTTGTCTTGTAAATCAGATAGGAGCAAAAAGTTACAAACTATTTATATCATCTTTATGTTGTTCCCTTACTAGTACCCTTCCATTTCATGCTGAAGGATTCTTTTTAGTATTTCCTTTAGGGCTAGTGAGAATATTTTGTACTTATTGTTTGTATAGTAATATCCTAATTACTCCATTTCACAAGATAATTTTTTTTAATTAAGAATTTATTTTTGAAGATTCATTTATTTATGCATACAAGAACTGGGGTACAGGCCAGAGGTGTGAGGGGTGAGAGGATTCACCAGAAACAGAGTGGGGAACAGAACAGGCAGATCTACTGAAATACACTGCTGAGGGGAGCAGCAGGCAAGACAGGAGAGGTCTGCTGTGCCATGTGGGTTAGCTCCCTGGCTGGCTGGGGATTGAACTCATGCTGCTGTGGCTGCCAGTAGCTTCAGAGTGAAGAGACTTAACCCGTTGCGCCACCAGGGAGGCCCCTAAATTAAGAATTCTTAATTGATAGTCCTTTTTTCTCAACACTATAAGTATGCCATCCTCTTGCCCTCTAGCCTCCTTGGTTTACAGTGAGAAGTCAGTTGTTAATCTTATGGGAGATCTATTGTATATCGTGACTCACTTCTCTCTTGCTGCTTTCAGCATTCTCTTTGTCTTTGGAAAATGTGACTAGGTGTGGCTCTCTTTGACTTTATTCTAAAATTTATGGATTTTTGCTTTGCCTGCTCAGATCTGCTATTGAGAGCACCTCTGCTCATATCTGTTATTCTGCTTTTCAAATACAGATTCTATTTGGTTCCTTATACAATTTTTATGTCTTTTGATGGTCTGTGTTTGTTAAGACCTCTCTTTGTTTCCTTCAGTTCTTTGTCCTTGATTCCTGTAGCTTTAAGTGTGTTTAAAGTAGTTGATTTGAAGTCTTTGTCTAGTAAGTCCACTGTCTGAACTTCCTTAGGGACAGCCTATTGATTGCTGTTTTTCCTGTGTATTGATCATAGTCTTAGCCTGTGTGTGAATATTTCTTTGCATGCCTTGTAATTTTTGTTGAAAATGGGCATTTTAAGTAATATAATGTGGCCACTCTGGAAGTTAGATTCTACACCTTCTCTAGAGTTTATTATTGCTGATTGTTATAGTTGTACTTTTTTTTCTTTAGTGATTTTTCTGTGCTAACTTTGAGAAATTTGTATTCTTTGTTATTGTGTGTGGCCTCTGAAGTTTTGGCTTAGTTGAGTTTGCAGTTAATGGTTTGAAAGAGATTTTCTTAAATGTCTGGAACAGTACGTCTCCCAGTCTTACTGGGAGTGACTTACTTGCAGTGGCTAACAATTCTGCTTTAGCTTTTACTTCTCCAGAGCCTCAGATTAGCAGGAGGTGAGAGCTTAGGGCCTTTTCTGATCTTCTGCTCCTGTGCATAGTCTTCTAGATGCCTAGGATATACTGGAGCTTTTCATAACATCTCATTCTTCAGCCTTTTCTTTTTAGCTTTAGGTTAGCCTCTCTTAGCTATTAACCATCCTCTCAGGTATACATGAAAGTAAACAATTGCTTCTGAATATTTTCCACAGATGCCCCTGGGTTTTTGCACCCAATGAGCTGAATCTGGTCAATAAAGACAGAAAATTTAATGACCGTTTTCTGGGAATGAGGCTTTGGAGAAGTTTCCTACTGTGTTCAGTTCCTTTGGGTAACTGCCAGGCTTCTGGTTTCACTTTGATTGGTTTGTCGATTTTCAGGGTTCCCTCGGAGTTGGGCGTAGGGTGGGACTAAGGTTTTTAAAGTGTCACAAAGCTACCTGTTCTTACTTAGATTTGGCCATTTTTCTTCTGTCAGTACTCTCCAGATTGTTGCAAGCCTTTGGTTAGTTTTCAGAGTTCTGAAAATTTGATTCTGACAGCTTTTGCCTGTTTTCTCATTGCCCTGATGGAGAGGAGAATTTCCAGAGTTCTTGTTCTATCATTTTTGCAGACTCACCTCACCTGTTCTTTTCTTCATGGTATTCTACCTTTCTAAGTCTTAGGGAAATAATGTGGGTGTGTGAGCCATACCCTTTAGGAGATGGTTTTCATTGTTGCAGTCATTTAAATTTTAAAGAACTATTTCTTATTATGAGGTAATACCTTCTCTTTCAACTGGTGAAATACGGACTGGAATGCATTAGGTCACTTGCCTTGCCAGAGGTGATGGCATTATAGACTTCTTCCTGGGCCAGCAAAAATACATGTATTGTTCAAGTGGAAATGAGATGATGCCTTTCTCTACACATTTTCTAATGTATGCTCACTTGTGGGTGTACATGCACCAACACTTTTATTAAGCAAATATGGGATCTTTCCATACACAATTGTTCTGCTGATTGCTTTTGTCACTTACATAATCTTTGAGTATTGTTCTTGTTTATCTGACAAGGCTTTTTCTTTCTTTCTTTTTTTTTTTTAAAGATTTATTTATTTATTTATACAAGCACTGGGTACAGTCAGAAGCACGGAGGGTGAGAGAATTCACCAGAGCCAGAGCGGGGAGCAGAGCAGGCAGAAGGACCGAAGTACACTGCTGAGGGGAGCAGTGGGCGGCAGGAGAGGTCTGCGTGCCATGCGGGACCCTCCTCCGGTGGCTGGGGAGCAGCCGGGGATTGAACCGGCGCCGCGGAGGCTTTGGGCAGCTTCACAACCCAGCGCTCAACTTCTGCGCCACCGGGGAGGCCCTGGCAAGGCTTTTTCTATGCATATTTGGATATGTGCATGTGTAGATGAGCATATTCTTTTTATATATTTTTAAAGATTTATTTTTATTTATGCGTATAAGAACTGGGTTGTAGCCCAGAGGTATGGGGAGGTGAGAGGATTCAGCAGAGACAGAGTGGGGAGCAGAACAGGCAGACTGACTGAAATACACTGCTGAGAGGAGCAGTAGGCAAGACAGGAGAGGTCTGCTGCATCATGTGGGTTACACAGGTTAGCTCCCTGGCCAGGGATCGAACTCATGCCTCAGTGTCTGGCGATAGCTTGATAGCACTGACACTTTAACACCAGGGAGGCCCTCTTCCTTTTTTTAAAGCAAAAGTGGCATGCATAGTTCTGCCAACTTTTTCCTTGAGTAAATCTTGGTGATTTTTAGCTCCTTCTCTTTCTAGGTGGCTAACATATCATTTATTCATTACTTCCTTCATTTGACATGTGGCCTGGCCCAAGAGAGCAGCTGTGCTGTGACTTGATTTAGTTGTTTCCGGGTCTTGTTATTACAGTTAGGTTAGGCTGCAGTGAACATCTTTGAACCTGTGATTCCTTATAGACTTGGCAAGTCAGAGAACACCTACATTAAAAATTTTAATGGATGTTGCCTTTCAAAAATTTCTGCCAATTTATCTTCTCAATTGATAACATGAAATAACTTGTTGGGCACACCATCCCCTTAACTGAGTATTATAATTTTAAAGATTTGTTCATATGATTCCTGAAATTTAACCATGTGGTTTAAAAAAAGTTCTTGCTGTCTTCTTCCCTGCTGACTTGAGGGCTGGGCTGGGGAGCACTGAGGGTGGAGGCATCTGCCGGGACTGGGTTCCAGAGGCATCAGCTATGTTCATCATAGAGTCACCCTGGCTGTTTTGCCTTTTGAGTTAGCCTACTGCTGCCCCCATCTGGTCACTGACACCCCCTCTTGGTTTCTTACAGGTGGCAAATGGGAAGTGGAAGCAGATCAGTAAATACTGTCCCCTCGACCTCTACTCAGGGTAAGAGTCATTGTCCTTATCTCCCTCTGCTTTCATGGGGTGTTCTGTGAGGTGCTGAAAGCACTGTGTGAAGGGACTGGAGAGGCCCCTTAATCCCATTGCTGGCCCTGAGCTCCCCACTGTCTCAGGGCCCCCATATGTTTTGGCTCTAGGGTCAAGTTCAGTGCCTCACTTCCTACTCCCAGAGAGACTCAGTGCTTGGCCTGCTGTGTGCTCTGCTCCAATGAGGGGAGGAGTTAGGCTTTGGGGCCACATTTGTCACTTGCCAGAGTGGCATGGTCACTTGGGAAAGGAGGAGACCAAAGCCCCTGTTCTTTATGTCCATTATACACATGTTGTGAGGTGACGGTTGTAATGAATGGACTCAGCCTTAGGGTTGTACTCTGACTTCAAAGATCAGAGGCTGGCTGGGCTGAAGCAGTATCTGCAGGCACAGGCTGAAGGTTCTGGACTACCCAGCTAATCCAAGAAAGTCTGGAGGGGGTCAGAGTGTTACTCCTTAACCCATGAAGCTTAGAGACATTGAGCTGGTGTTCCTGAGCACATCTGCTGAGATTGCTTTTAACTGTGTCAATATTACTTTCCCTTTTAGAAATAAACAGAGAATGCACTTTGCCTTGAAAAGCTTATTACAGGAGGCTCAGAACAACTTAAAGATATTTAAGGTAAGAGTTGCTTTTATTTTATGGCACTTTTGGGGTGGAGCCAATTGGTGTCTTGGGACAGAGCCAAGTGAACCCAGGGTATGTTAATCTCACTTGTGTGCCTCTGTGACCAGGCACACAGTGGCATCGGACTGAGGCTGCCTCGGCACAGTACCTTTGGGTCCTTTTTCTGAGCCCCATTCCATGCCATGGTATCTTTTTTTTTAAAATATTTATTTTTATACAAGAGCTGGGGTACAGGCTAGAGGTGCAGGAGAGTGAAAGGATGCACAAGAGGCAGAGTGGGGAGCAGAACAGGCAGACAGGAGAGGTCTGTCACACCATGTGGGAATCTCCCTGGCTAGCTGGGAATCGAACTTGCACTGTAGAAGCTGCGGACAGCTTCACAGCACTGTGCCCAACCCGCTGCACCACCGTGGAGGTCCTCCATGCCATGGTATCTTGTGAGCCCTGGGCTATGTGATGCTGATACCTTGACTACTGGGCAGCCTCAAGTTCTCTTGATGCACAGACCCTGACTCTGGTTCTTGGACCAGGATGTCCTAGGGTTCCTTCTTTGTGTCTCTACCTGTGTGGCTGAGGTAGGAGTAAGAGCTGGATTGGTGTGACCTGGAGGGTAGCCAGACCTGTACTGGGGAATATAGAGAATTTATAATTCAGGGGTCTTCTTGTCAGCGAATTCTCAGAGTCCTGCAGCTTTGATCATCCTGTGACCCAGCCAGGTAGGATACAGGCAGGTGCCCTCACAAAGAATATTCATGACATTTTCCTTTTTCTTGACATCCTCATTGCCACCTGGCACTGGCATCCGGCTTTCTGAGGCCCTATGGTCAGATGGCTTCTTGCAGATGGAAATCAGGCACGAGGCCTCTGTGGAGGAGAGATAGGGGGAGGAGAGCAAGGCTGGCCAAGATCTGTAGGAGAGTGTGTTATGGCCACTGTTCGAAATGTTCTCCTTTTATCTGGGGATTTACTTGGAGCCTGAAGTGAGGCTGCCATTTGATCTAAGTGGTCCCTTTTCTGACTGCCCCCATTGGGCTGACCTGTTAGACCCACACAGAAGCTGAGTGGTGTCTGGTTTGCTCCTGGATGACTACCCTGTCCTTGGACCTGGGACTGAGAACCCTGATGTTTTTTTCTGTTGAAATCATAGAAAAAAAATCCAGAGGTTGAGGTAATATTTCATAGCTTCTTAAGTAGTGCCTGATGAATGCGGTCACACCTCTCCAGGTCCTTGAGCAAGCATAAAATGCCCCTCTGCCCAGGGAGAAGAGGCCTTCCATTGCTCGGGGATCACTAAGCTACTCACCGACCTGGAGGACAGGCCAATTTCACAGTGGGCCAAGTGGCTCCTGCCCTGGATCTCTGGTTGAGTCCTTACTCACCTCCTGGCTGCAGCCCATGGCTCCTGGTTTCAGCCTACTTTCCTCCTCTAGCACCTATGGCACACCCTTCTGCTGTAGACCTAACTCAAGGGTCAGCATCTCTTGATGGGCCATCTGGTCCCATGGCTGACCATGTGTGCCCTTGCTCTGAACATCACTCTGTGAACTCTGATGGTGCCCCGATAGACCTCCTGGGGAGGTTCCATCTGCTGGATCCCAGGTCCTGGAACCTGGGTCTGATCTTTTGCTGCATCAAATAGACCCCCACTGGCCACCTGGGGGCAGATCAGGGATGATCCTCATTTATCGTTTCCTATTGGCTCACAGTCACTTGTTTCGGTTCCTGTGGCCTGGGAGGAAGGTCTAGCGTAGCTGATTCTGGCTTGGAGTCCCTCTGAGGCTGTGGCCTGACTGCCCCAGGACTGTGGGCAGGCCTTACTTCCTGGCCATGTGAGCTCCATGAGGCTGCACAGTGAGGCCCCTGTGATCTAAGCACAGTGCCACCTGGACCTGGGAGCCCTGGCATCTCCTTTAATTTCATTTTGCCAGGGGTGCGCTGTGTCACTGTGCATGTCCCTTTGGTCACATGGCCCAAACCTGGAACAGCTTGGGAAGGATTACAGTGTGTTTCTAGGGATGGGAGCCACTAAGGACTATCTTGAAGCTGCTGACCGCACCATCTTTTATGAATGAGGAAACTAGGGACAAAGTCATCACTGCCTGGGGCCAGCTAATGCTTAGGTACAGGGACCAGGGTTCCATTGGGGTGTTCCCTCTGATACCTCAAACCCATGTCAGAGTCATGGTGTTGGACCTACTGAGTGGGGAGTACGTGACACTCCCTGCCTTGGGAGTGTTGGTGCTGGAGGAGTTTCTTTGCTGGACTTACTTGTGGAAGGTTATCGATTTCCACACCTTTCAAGCTGGGAGTCTCACCCATTCTGGCAGGAACTAGGCCTAAACTGACACTGATTGACCCTGCCAGGATGCTGGTGGTTGACAGACACCTGTACTGGCTGAGAAGTTTGGTTGTTGCAGGTCAGACCAACACTGTTCCTCAGTAGTGAGGATGTCACACAGCCCTTGAGTACCAGGCATGGGGCTTCAGGAATCTGTTGCTTTGGGCTGGGTTTGCTCCAGGTTGCCAGCATGCTGTGTGTTCATGGTCTGAGCACTTGTATTTCAGGTCAGAACCCTGGTCTTGACCAAAGTTTTTGAAAACTTTCTTTCTTTTCACATTCTTGATCAATGTGTGAGGGTGGGTTTCCCCAGAGGGCCACAGTTGTGCAGGGCACATATAAAATGTCAGGTCCCTTTGCCCAACTGAGGTGTTTTTCTTCCAATCTGTTGGAGTTGATCTTGCCTTGTCTCTTCCACCTGCAGAATGGTGAGCTGATTTATGGCTGCAGAGACTCCCGAAGCCCCTCAGCTGACTGGAGTGAGCTGGCACACCACCTGAAGCCCTTCTTCTTCCCATCCAATGGTCTGGCAGGCGGGCCCCACTGCACAAGGGCTGTGATCCGGGAGTTGGTCCGTGTTATCACGCGGGTGCTGCTGAGTGGCTCTGACAAGGGCCGGCTGGGCGCCCTGAGGCTGGGACCTGGGCCTCGGGGCCCACTCGTCTGTGAAGCCAGCCCTTTTGGCAGGAGCCTGCACCGCCAAGGTAGGCCAGGGCAGGGCATGGGGAGCAGAATCTGGGCCACTGCCTGTACTGGTCTTGCCTGGCCTCATGGAGCTTCTGCGAGAGCAGCCTGGACCTTGTCAGGAGTCTTCAATGCTGGGCCTCACTATCTCTCAGCCCTTGGCTGGACACTCCTTTTCTTTCGTCTTCTCTCAGATTTGTCATTTGCAGCACATGTTTGGGCCAAGGGTTTGCCCCTAAAACATTGCTGTATATGCTTGTGTTCTCTGGTATGCTGAGTGCTTCCTCTGCAGCCTCCTGTTCCCTCTGCTTTGCACCCTACAAGTAGTTGTTCCTCAGTTTGTTTCTTAGGCTAGAGAATCAAGGTACAGACAGTTGGGAGGTACACAGAGCAAGCCCTTTAGACTGGCGTGGTCTAGTGGGCCTTGGTGTGCAGATAAGACTTGTGAGGCAAATCTTGGATGAGGAAACTAGGGACAAAGAGTCATCACTGCCTGGGGCCAGCTGCTGCTTGAGTACAGGGCACCTCTTGTGTGGCACCTCTTGCTCGGAGGCAGAATTCTGGCTGTAACTTGATGGGCATCTAGGCTCAGAGGTGCGGCCAATGAGCAGGTTTGGGGTTTTGCTAAGAATGTTTGGGGCTCCTTTTTTGCCATTTTGTTGTTTGCCAGCACGCCCCACAACATATTTGGGTCTGTGGCATGCACAGCTACAGCCAGGAACTTACTTTTTTTTTTTTTTGCTGACTGGGAAGTTTCCTGTCTTAACAACCCTTGTGGCCTCACAGCCCTCTGAGGATGACTGCAGTGTATGTCAGTGGAGACTCTGCCCTCCCCTCCACTGACTCTTCGGTGCCGTTGTGTTTGCCCAGGCTGCCCAGGCACAAGAAGCTGTCCTTTCTCTGTGCCCACCCCCACCCCATACCTAGTTTTTTTTTTTTTTTTTAAGATTTATTTTAGAAATTTATTTTAAAGATCTATTTATTTATTTAGGCCTATATAAGAACTGGGGTATAGGCCAGAGGTGTGGGGGAGGGGGGGATTAAAAGGATTCACTAGAGACCAAGTGGGGAGCAGAACAGGCAGATCTACTGAAATACACTGCTGAGGGGAGCAGCGATCTGCTGCCCCATGTGGGTTAGCTCCCTGGCCGGCTGGGGGGGGGGGGGGAGGGAAACAAACTTGTGCCGCAGTGGCTGGCGATAGCTTGATAGCACTGTGTCTTTAACCTCTGCACCAGTAGGCAGGCCCCATACCTAGTTTTTCTTAACATAGATGTATTTTGGGTTTTTCTTGTTTCAGAAGTGATAATCTGATCATTTCATAAAATTTTGATAGTTATGCCATAACTGCTTTCATGTTGCTAAAATGGGTCTAGAAGAACACACTGAAGGGAATGCTATTGACACTGGAGACTTTTCTTCCACCTTCCTCTGTGGGAAGTACAGCTTAAACAACAAAGTCATGCTAAGCCAGAGGAAAAAGAAAAATATCCAATGCTTTCATTTATAGGGGAACCAAATAAGGGATCAGGAAAAAAAATAATGAAACAAAATTATCAGGTAACTATAAATCAGAAACATTCTGTAGGAGAAGGGGAGAGAGAGGGATCAAAACAGGGAGGGAAGAGCACAAAGGACTATGGTGATGGTGCACGGGCGGATTGGTGGTGGGAATTTTATGGGGACTACACCTGAGAGGAGAAAACATGCATTGTACGAAAATGAAAAGTGATATAAAATATATATAAATAAATTTAAAAAACAAACAATGTCATGCTTTACATGCTATTTTGTAACCTGCTCTTTTTTCACCTAATTAGCGCAAATCTGTATTTGGATCAGCAAGTTTATTTTTTGGACTTTTATTGACCATCCTACGTAGAATAGCCTATAATTTTGCAGGTCCCTCCTAGCTGGCCTGTGCACCTTTACTCTGTATCAGGTAGCTGAGTGCATCTTGTGAGAAGTGGGAGGTCAGTGTCAGGATGGCTTGCAAGCACAACTGTTCTCTGTGAGGACCACTCCTTGTGGTCATTTTTTCACGGGACTTGGCTTCTCTGGAATATATGAAATAGCCTGACACTGACACTCTAGCCTTCTTGGCACACAGCAGGGACCCTTAAGTGGTCATGTGTAGAATGGCCTTGTTCCCACATTGTCCTGTGGTGACAGCCTCCCTGCCCTGACCCCTCTACGCTTCTGTTTTATTGGTGTCACCTTTGATCAGCCCTTGGTAGCCTTGTGTGGGATGTGGGTGGTGATGATTTGGAGGTATTGACATGACCATTTAAAATTTTGTGTTTTGTCTTGTTTACTTTTTTTTAAATAAAGATTTATTTATTTATTTATACAAGCACTGGGTGCAGTCAGAAGCGCAGGAGAGTGAGAGAATTCACCAGAGCGGGGAACAGAACAGGCAGATTGACAAAATATACTGCTAAGGGGAGTAGTGGGCGCGGCAGGAGAGGTCTGAGCGCCATGTGGGACCCTTGCTGGCAGCCGGGGATCGAACTGGCGCTGCAGAGGCTGCGGGCAGCTTCGTAGCCCAAAGCTCAACCTCTGCGCCACCAGGGGAGGCCCATGTTTTGTCTTGTTTAGAGAGAGGATGATCTCTCTAACTTAGTTCTGGGACTGGTCTGGTGGAACTTGGAGGTTGTCTTAAAAGGCAGGAAAGAACAAAGTAAGAGTGGACCACCTGCCCTTTCTTCTGTCCCTGGCCATTTGTCTCAGCCCGCCAGCTCTGTGAGGCTGGGTAAGGCCTGTACCCTGCCACTTTTGGTCCCTGACAGTAAACCTCTCATTTTCCCTGATGTTCTTGGTAGGAAAACCCCCCCTGGAGCACTCGGGGTTACCGAAGGGCTGTCTTCTGTACAAAACCCTCCAGGTGCAGATGTTGGACCTGCTGGACATTGAAGGCCTCTACCCTCTGTACAGGCGGGTAGAGCGGTACCTGGAGGAGTTTCCTGAGGAAAGGTGAGGCCCAGGCCCAGGGATTGCCCCAATGAGAGGATAACATGGGCTTCCCAGGAGGATTACCCTGCCACCTCCCCTCCATGCTCCTGGTGCTAGGCTTGACCTGTCAGATGTGTGGTCACTTGCCTGGTTCTAGAAAAAAACAAATCCTCTGACCCTGACAATCCCCACATGGACATGGACCATTCCATGTCCTAAGTCAGGACTGAGCCTGCAGGGGGCAGCGGTGCTTCACAGGTGGGGAGGCACTCTGCCCAGGCCTGAGCTCCAAGTGTCAGTTGGCCTTTAGCTCCTGGCTGTCCTGCATTGGGGTCACTGGGGTCCACACCTTGGTGGGCCTGAATTCCCATCCTATCCCCCTGCCCCTTCATTAGTGCCTCTGGCCTTGCCAAGTTCTTTTTAAAACTTTGATGCTTCAGAAGGAAGTTTCACATTAGGAGGAGGTGGACTATCAGGTGTTCCTGTAACCAAACGTGTGATTTTTAAATTGTTAGCAGTTTCAGAAATTTTTTAGGCAGCTTCATCATCCCGTTTTTTGTGTGTGTTTTTTCCCTTTCAGAAAAACGTTGCAAATAGATGGGCCTTACGATGAAACATTTTACCAGAAGCTGCTTGATCTTTCCACTGAGGACGACGGGACAGTAGCCTTTGCACTCACGAAGGTAAGCAGGTGCTTCTGTAAACACACTGTGTGTTCCTTAGGCTCTTGACACTCAGTTGGCGTTTTCCCAAGAAATGTTTCCTACTACCTATTTATTATGGTTAAAGCAGAGAAACTGGGATTAAAAAAAAAAAAAAGGCTCAAGTTTCCCCAGATGGCTGGGCTGGGTGATGATATTGATACATGACTCTTAAGCTTTTGGTTTGTTAGGCTTCCACCTGCCCAGGGCCCAGCTCTCTCCCCTGATGCTGGGATCTGTCTCTGCTGCCTTACAATGGACTGTATGTGGGTGACTTCCCTCTCCTACTTAGGCCAAGGGGCAGCCTGGGAGAATCACTTAGTGAAAAAGGCCTGGTCCTATTCTTTCTTGTTCCGTGAAATTGGAATTTAGTGGCTCCATGAACTTGGATAGGAAAAGTCACATATTTATTTTCACTAACCTATGACTGGAAATTTGTTTAGGCTCTATATAAGTATTTATGAGATGTACTCATGTTATTGCATGCATTTTTGTGTTTTCATTGTTTTACAGTCTTCCATTGAATGGACATACTACAATTTATTCATTCTACTTCATGGATATTTGGGTTGTTTGCAGTTTTTGACTGTTTTGAAAAAAACTGCTCAAAATATTCTCAAACAGATCTCTTGGTATGCATATGCATACATTTCTTTTGGAATTAGTTCTGAGAGAATTTTTGGGCAGATCTACAAGCATTTTTAGCTTTAACAGGTATACTGCTAAACCTTTTGACATATTGACACTTGGTGCACCAGGCTGGGGTATTTAGTTCCATACCCTCTCTTACTTGTTGGTGGGGCTTCCTAATTTTAGACATCTTGGTGTGTTTGTGCTGGTGGCTTGTTGCAGAAATAAGACTAAGCACTTTTTCTTTTTTTTTTATTTTATTATTTAAAATTTTTTTTAAAACATTCTTTTTTTTTTTAAAGTGTATTTCTTTCTTTTTTTTTTTTTTTTTAAGATTTATTTATTTATACAAGCCCTGGGTACAGTCAGAAGCGCGGGAGGGTGAGAGAATTCACCAGAGCCAGAGCAGGGAACAGAACAGGCAGACTGACGAAATACACTGCTGAGGGGAGCAGTGGGCGGAAGGAGTGGTCTGCGCACCATGTGGGACCCTCGCTGGTGGCTGGGGATCGAACTGGCACTGCAGAGGCTGCGGGCAGCTTTGCAGCCCAGTGCTCAACCGCTGCGCCACCAGGGGAGGCCCAGCACTTTTTCATATGTTTATTGGCCATTATTATTTTCTTTAGGGGAAGTACCCATTTAAGCCTCTTTGCCAGTTTTTTGTGGGTTGTCTTTATCTTATAGATTTGAAGGATGTCTTTATGTATTTTGGATATTATCAGATATCTGTGCTGTAGGTATCTTCTTCCACTCTGTAGCTTGCCTTCTCATTCTCTGAATGGAGTCCTTTTCAATGAAGTTCACAGTTTTAAGGTAGTTTAGTTTACATTGTTTTCCTTCACAAGACACCTTTATCTTTTATCTACCTTAAGGTTCTACAGATATTTTAGAAATGTTAGTGTTTTGCTTTTCACATTTGGAAGGGTAACCATCTGCAGTTGACTTTTGGTATGAAATGAAATAGGGTTTTATTTTATTTTCATATGGGATTGTCCCAGAATCAGAATCATAGGAATTGGGCTGATCATTGTGGAGCCTTAATGAGTTTTGATACCCTGTGGGGCATGACCTTCTACCTTCTTCAAGAATATTTTTTCTTTAGTAAATGCCTTCTGTTTGTCCACATAAATTTTAGAATCAACTTCTTCAGTTCTATAAGGAAAAACAATAACAAAACTGCTGGCTTTTCAATTTGTTTGGCATTAAAATGATGACAAGATGACATGTTTATAGTGTTGAGTCTTGAGCTGTTTCTTTTCTTAAGTATTATTTAAAATTGCCAAAAACATGATTTTTTTTAGAGCAGTCTTATATTTTATAGGCTTACTCCCAGATATTTGATGGTTTTAGAAATCAGTGGTGTCTTGTAAAATATTTCATTTTATTTATTTTTGTTTGTTTGGCTATTCAGGTAATATTGCTGTATATGACTTAGGGGAATAGGCTCATACTTCCTCAGATATGTGTCACTGCACCATACCCACCACCAAAGCACCCATAATCCTTTAACATTTTAAATATGGATTTATGGGAATGTAATTGATTTTTCTATTTGACCCTATATCTGTCAGCCTTGTTAAACTCAATTTTAAGGGCCTCTCCAGTGGCGCAGCAGTTGAGCGCTGAGTTGCGAAGCTGCCTGCAGCTTCTGCAACGCCGGTTCAATCCCTGGCCACCGGGCGAGGGTCCCACATGGCATGACAGACCTCTCCTGCCGGGCCCGCTGCTCCCCTCAGCAGTGTACTTTGTCAGTCTGCCTGCTCTGCTCTCCGCTCTGCCTCTGGTGAATTCTCTCACCCTCCTGCTCTTCTGACTGTACCCAGTGCTTGCATAAATAAATAAAATAAAATAAAATAAATTTTAAAAAAGCTCAATTTTAATAGTTTACTTATTGCTTCTTATTATTTTGTTATACTGCATGTAGTTAAATGATAGTGGGAATTCTAGAGATTTAAATTTAATCTCTTTTTTCCCCCTTAATTTATCATTATTATTTAAATACTATAGGGTTGTTTTTAGGATTATATATTTTAAATAAACAACCATGATAAGATTAAGGAATTCCTATCCATTCATGATTTGTTAAGAGTGTCAGAAGTGAATATTGAATTATATCAGTGCCTTTTCTGTTTCTGTTGAGATGATCATATGGTTTTTTGCCTGTTTTCTGTTGTGGATAATTTTACAATTTGTAGTGAAGTTTTATCTTTTCATATATTAAATACACATGGCTTTCTGATATTTTGTTGAGGGTTTTTGCTTATGTATTTGTGATAAATATGAAGTTTTTTTGGTAATCTTTGTTAGGTCTTGGTATCAAGGATATGCCTACTTCATAAGATATTTGAAGAGTGTTTGCTCATTTTCTGTTCCCTGGAAGAAGTGAACTAAGACTCCTACTATTTCCTTCTTAAATATTTTGTAGAACCACAAGTGAAACCATCTGTGCCCATAGTTGTCTTTGTGGGAAAATTTTAAATTATGGTATCAATTTCAGACTTTCTATTTCTTATTTTGTCAGTTTTGTTAAAATTTATTTTTCTAGAAATTTGTTTTAACTAAAAATTTCAAACTATTGGCATATAATTTTTGGTAATAGTCTCTTTTAATGTTTTATAAGAGCTGAAGAACTTTCTTTTATTCCTAACTTCTGGTATTGGTTTCTTTCTCAATTGATTTGTTAGTTTTATAAAAATTAATCCTTTTGTACAGTTTTTCTATTTCATTAATTTCTGCTCTTATTCCCTTTTTTCCCCCTTTGGATAATTTGGCCTTTCTGTAGCTTTTTCCTGGCATTTCTTTTTTTTCTAAAATATGTATTTAAAGCTATGTACTTTCCTCTAAATATGGCTTTAACTGCATTTCACAAGCTTTTTTGCTTTTTTTTTTTTTTTAAAGTATCATTCAACTAGAATATACCCTGATTACTGTTAAGATTTTTTTCCTTCACTTAGAGAAGGATTTAGAATGTATTGATTATTAGCAAAATTGCATTGTGGTCAAAGAACATATGGTCCTTGGAAATTTGTTGTGATTGCTTTTGATCTTCTAAGGCATCTTCTCAAATTGTTGGGTACAGTGTTTTATATCTCCTGTTATGTCAGATTCATTATTGTTCAGGTCCTCTATAACCTTACTGGTTTCACTGTAGGGTATTTTGAAACTTTACATAATTGTGGATTTGTAAGTTATTTATTTTGAAGCTTGTCAGGTGTTTCAAATTTAGAATTGTTAACATCTTCCTGGTGAATGTTTCCTTTCCAAGTGTCATTTATGATTGCCAAGTGTCTTCACTTCTGGTAATATTTTTTACCTTATAGGTTCTTTTCTCTGATACTGGCATAACTTCTCTTGATCCTCTTGGCTAATACTTGCACTCCATATTTTCCCCTGCCCTTAACAAAAATCTTTGTGTCCTTTTACAAGTATGGTTTGGTTTTCTGTCTGTTTTGACATTTTGTTATTTGCCATTTAGTTGAACTTATACTTGGATTGAAAATCTACTTTCCTCCCACTTATTTTAGGTTTATTATTCTCTCTTTTCTTACTATCCTTTGGGTTCATTAATTTTTATTACCCCATTTTCCAACCTTGTTAGCTTGGAAGTTAGTCTTTTTCTTTTTTTTTAAAGATTTATTTATTTATTTATACAAGAACCGGGGTACAGGCCAGATGCGCAGTAGGGTGAGAGGATTCACCAAAGACAGAGCGGGGAATAGAATAGGCAGATGGACCGAAGTACACTGCTGAGGGGAGCAGCGCCGGGCAAGACGGGAGAGGTCTGCTTTGCCATGTGGCACCCTCACCTGCCGGCCGGGATCAAACCAACACTATGAAGGTTGCGGACAGCTTCACAGCACAGCGCTCAACAGCCTGCGCCACCAGGGGAGGCCTCTTTTTCTTTTCTTTTGATGGTTCTAGCTATTGTAGCAAAGCAATTGACTTATTAAAGTCTAATATCATTTAGGGCTTTTACCATCTTTTTGGACAACACAACTTTCTCAGAATACATTTTATTACAACTCCTTACTTAATTGCTGTTGTTGCTATGTATTCTCTTATTCTAAGTTCAAACAGACATTATTCTTCATGAAGTTCCTATCCATTTGCCCACAAAGTTTTCTCTTGCATTGCTTTTCATTTTGCCTTGATTCTCTGAGCTTTTATCTGGGATCTTTTTGGTTTTGTCTGAAGAACAACTGTTAATACTTCCTTCAGTGGAGGACTGTCTGCTGCTGATTCCTTCTTAGTTTTTTCTTAGTGATATGTATAAAGTTTCTTTGGCATCTTTCTTCAATTTTTACTTGATCTTTTTCAGTTTTGGAAAACCTTCACATTTTCAAATTTTGTTTCTGCCCCTGCCCTCTCTTCTTGCAGGACTCCAATTGCATATCTATTACACATGTTCTCTTGATCTTCAATAGCTCATGCTTCATTCTGGATTTGGATATCATATATATATATATATATATATATATATATATATATATACACACACACACGCACACACCACAGTGAAAATACATGAATTTAATTTTTTGGCCTAGCTTAAGTTTAGCATGTCTCAGTTTTTTCTAATCTGCTGTTGAAACTATGTTGAATTCTTAATATTGAATTTTGTATTTTTTAGTTCTAATCTTTCTGAATGGTTCATTTTTACAGTCTCCAGTTTTCTAAGTTCTTGATTTTGTCCTTTATTCTTTGAGCAGAGCAGCATATGTGTCTGGGTCTTCCAGTAACTGGAGTCCACCTGTGCATCCTACTATTGTATTTTTTTTTTTTCCTTTGCTGGTTTTCATTCATGTTGTCTTATTTTGTGCCTTCATGTTTTTGCTTCTGTGTCAGAAATAATATTTGTACAGCTATTTTAGAAATGACTTGAGGCCTAGGGTGATATCTTCTTCCAGAGAGAATTTAAGGTTTTCTGTCACAGACCTGGGATGCACTGACAAGCTGGAGTCATCTTGACCCAGTTCTGGGGACATTTTAACTCAGTTCTGGTGACTGACCTCTTTGAAGCAAAGCTGCATTTCCTGGTAAGAACCATTGTCTCCTGGTTCACTGTATCTAAGGTGCGGCATTTTGGTACTAAGCCAAAGAGGGGGTTCATCATGGCTGCTGTACCCACAGTTCTATAGGTTGGTTAGAAATGCCTCTTGGGGGACCTTCCTGGTGGCCTAGGGGTTAAGTCTCAGTGCTATCACAGCTATGGCCTGAGTCTGATCCCCGGCCAGGGAGCTAACCCACATACGGTGCAGCAGACCCCTCCTGTCTTGCCTGCTGTTCCCCGTAGCAGTGTATTTTAGTAGATCCGCCTATTCTTCTCCCCACTCTGTCTCTGGTGAATCCTATCATCCCCTGCACCTCTGGCCTACATCCCAGTTTTTCTATTAAAAAAAAAAAGGAAGGAAAAAAAGGAATGCCTCTCAGTCACCTTCCAGCGTTGTCATCCCACTCCTCTGGTACAGTTTTTCCTGGTTTGATGAGCTCTGCCTTTAAGCAGATGTTTTCGTATTTCTTCTACTTGACCTTTTAGCATTTGAGTTGGCCCCAGTTGCACATCCCACAATACTGGGGGTGAGAATCTAGCCCTTTCATTTTATGTCTGATACATCTTTATCTGTATCTATATTAACACTGTAGATGTTGGCTCTCAGTTCCATGTGTGGTTCATTTCTGGGTTCTCAAATATAGTCCATTGATCTGTGTGCCCATTTCCCGCCCTCACCCCCAGTGCCATAGTGTCTTGATTACTGTAGCTTTGCAAAAATAATTTGATGCTAAGGGGTATGATACCCCCATTTTACTTTTTATTTTGGCTATTCAAGGTCTTCTGTGATTTCATACAAATTTTAGAATATTTTGTTCCATTTCTGTGAAGAATACCATTGGGATCTTCATAGGAATTGCATTGACTCTGTGTATTGTTTTAGGTAACATGGCCATTTTGGCCATATTGTCTTTCCATTTCTTTATTTCTCTTTCAGTTTCTCTAAACAGTGTCTGATAGTTTTTCAGTGTACAGGTTCTTCACTTCCTTGGTCAAATTTATTCCTAAGTAATTTCTTTTTGCTTCAATTGTATAGACACGATAACATTATATACTTTATTATATTTATCTCTGATTCTTTTGGACTGTTTTTTGTGTATTATATGAAATTCCTAATTTCTCACCTAAATGAACAGAGTAAGGGTAAGTTGCCACCGACAACAAAGGCAGTTAGTAGGCTTGAAGTCACCAGGCTTGGGGCTCTCCTCACTTCTTCCTGCATAGTCCTGCCTGTGGAAGGCACAGTTGGGTGTGGTACCAGCTGTGTGACAGCTGTGAAGGAGAGGGACTGACAAAAGAGGATCAGTCATGTGAATGCTGAGGTGGTACTAATATCTCTCCCTTTCCTTTTTTGGAATTAGTTTATTTTTGTAAGTCAGAACTATTCAAGCTAAAACATTCAAATGATATATCAAAAGTTTAGAGAAAAGAGCTGATAAAAAGTCCCAAATACTAACTATACAGAGGGAGAATTCAGATCTCTCCTTGTATGTCTGTGACAGCAAGTATGCACCCGCAACTTTGGTGGCGGCCCTCGTGGACGTCGTTCAGGTCAGCAGTATGTAGTGTGTACATGTGCTTGTGGCATGGTGTTGAGAGCACACACACAGAGCCAAGACTCCAGTCTGCAGTGTCCTGCATGGTGACTGCATGACATCTTAGCACCCAGATTGACCCAAGGGATGGTCTGTTACTTTGAGCAAGATCTTGTGTGCTGCTATCTTGAGGTCAGAGTGATGTTCACACAGTGCTGTCTGCGACCAGCACACCAGGAGCCGAGGCAACTCCTAAGTCCCTGTGTTTGGAGTCAGGGGCCACATGCTATTTGCAGGGAGAGGGCAGAGAGCAGGGCTGGCCTCTGAGGAGCCATTTGGGCCTGAGATTTCCTGCCAGAACTTACCAGGGGGGTGGGTGCATGTGTTGGTGGTGCCTGGAGCTTGATCTTTCCCTCCCTACAGGTTCAGCAGTACCGTGTTGCCATGACTGCGAAGGACTGCTCCATTATGATCGCCCTGTCCCCTTGTCTGCAGGATGCAAGGTAAGGTGCCCACTGTTTGTCAAGGGTCCTTGCTCTGACTGGTTTTTGTGGATTGACAAGAGCATTGGTTCTCTATAGTTAGAGGCTCCTTTGACAGGATCACATTTATGAACAAAGACTTATCTCCAAGACCTGTTTGGTGTCATGGGTTTTATTAAGTCTTACTTGCTAGAAACTTGTAAATCAGCCAAAAAGATATTTATGGAGAATTTTAAGAGTGTCTATTAAGTTGAAGATTACTATTATTTCCTGAAAAATACCCCCAAGGATTTCAAAGCAGTTTGGATACTCTGGTGCAAATTCCTTTCTTTCAAAGGCATCACCAAGCTCCTGTTAAGGCTCCTGAGCACCTGTAGGCTGCTGTGGCCACGTCCTCCCATCCTCCCCAGCTCATCCTGCTGTGCTATCTGCACAGGTGTCATGGTCACCTCCATACCTGAACAACAGCATACCCACTGCGCTGCTTCCTGTGTGCAGTGTCTCTCCCTGGGTATCTTCATTATTTAGGTCCTTCCACTGCCATTTTTAGGAATTCAGAATGAACCTGGTAATCTTATAGTAATTACACAGCATCTTCAGCATTGATCTTTGAGTGCCAAACCCTATACCCAGAATTTGCAGAATGTTTTCAATCTTCGTGACTTATTCCTGGGTGAAAATCATCTTATTGCTGCCTGCAAGCCATCTGTTTTTCTGATGCTTTTGCAGTAAGTGTTCGCAGGAATCGTGCTTCCTGGCAAGCACAAAATGCTCCACTTTCTGATAGGAAATACTGAGGGGTATTTACAGGGCATACAAAGTCCAAGTTGTTCTTTTTAGTTGAAAAATCCAGTTACGCACTAAGGAAGTGCTCCTGGTGCTCAGCTATGAGGCCTCCATTCCAGGTTGAGTTGGTGTTGGTAGATGAGAGAGAAACACATAGATGTTCACCACCCCTCCTAAAGTGAGTGTGCAGCTGAGAGGCAGAGACATGTGGGGCCTTGAATCAATTTCCAAATGTCTGGCAATTTACTTCCAGTTGTGTGTGAAGGTGGGTGTACATTACAGTGTGATTATTACTGAAAATTTGAAAATATTCTGTCTCCCCCAAGATGAAATAGTTAATTATAGTACAGCCATTTGCTTATTTAATTTATAATTTTGTGTTCTTATTGTCATTTAACATTTTATCCTGAATGCCTTCCCAGGGTGTCAGGAGCACAGATGGTACCGGTAGAAATATACTGATAAACGTGAATTTTTCAGGGAAAGGAGGGGGAATACAGTTTAAGGACAAAGGATTGATCATGGAAAGTGTTTCATGAAATGTTTATTTAAGCTTATTTTAATCTTAAAATGTTAAATGTTTTAGGAATGTGCATATGTAAGCTTTGTGTTTGAAAACCTTTGCCAACTAGACAGGAATTATAAATTCTGGGGGAAGTTCAGCATATAGAAATTGGGATCTCTGTGACCAAGCTGAAGAGAAGGGGGAGACCTTAAAGACCATTCAGACTTGCCTTTCCTGAGGGTTCTGAAGAGGAAGAAAAGTGGGGCCTGCCAGTATCTGGCTCTCCAGGGTGGAGCTTGCGGCCTCTTTGGGAGAACTTGTGCTGGGATTACTCGCTGTATTTTGAGGTGCCTAGTAATGGGATGGAAGACCAAGCTCCCAGGTGTGTGGCGAAGGTGGGTTGTCCTCTGAGGATGGGGCTCACTGCTGGTATTCATGGCTCTGGAACCTCCTGCTCATGCTCAGCCTGAGGTAGAGAGGTTTCATTTGTTAGGAGCCACTCACTTCACTGCTAACTGGAACTTGCAGTTCTTTCCCCAGGAATGTTCTTTGGGCAGTGCTCCCACCAGCACTGTGTGATGGAATCCTCTCTTTATGCAGGTACTCTTACTGGGTGCTGGTTCTGACGTGAAGAATCGAGATGTCCTTTAAAATGTGTAGCCCCTGTTGACATCAACCTTCCCAGCTTTGTGGAGTTTGCATTTTGGGTTCCAAGTGCAAGACTCAGAATGTGTAAATGTTTTCTCTGCCATTCAGGGGAGAGTAGCTAAGACCCCAACAACTAAGCATGGGGTTTATTTTTCCTACAAACAATATTTTGTAGCAGTTGATTGAGGATCTAGGCCTGGATTAGCTTCATCAGAACAGGAACTTGTTCATTGACCTCCTGTCTCCCAGGTGGGAGCTTTTGAAATTGATGTTTTGTTGGTTTTGTCTTTTAGAGATCTTTTCTAAGTTTAGGAGTATATTAAGTATGGGGAAACCAGGACTCTGGAATACTTCTCTTGGATTAACCACAGTTTGTATAATTGGTATGATAGCCAAGAGGGGTACATAGCGATTTTAGTACAGACTTCCCAGTTTTTCTGAAAGTGTTTTTAAGTATACAAATTTGTTCATATTCTGTTATAAGCATAAAACCATTCTGTTTAGATAAACCATAAAATAGTCTTAAAAAATATAAAATACTACAGGTAAGATTTGAGAATAAAACATGAAACTAGATCTCTTTCCAAATGTGAAAAGCATAAAGGAGTACAATTTTTTCCCCAGACATGGGAAAAGCACATAAAGAGAGTCTGTTCTCAACATTTCATCCATTTGGCTGTTGAATGGCCAGATCTATTTTCTACTTTTTCTTAGGTTTTGTAATACTTGGCTCATGATAAAGTGACTTTTTTCAGCATTGGTTTATACCACTGGGATATGGGAAATATCAACTGCCGGGGTCTATGTAATTACTTTTCCATCTCTCTGTACTTTAACCCTGTCTTGCCTGGTCTGGTGGCTGGAATCAGCACTCACACACTCAGTTGGCACAGATAGAGAAGAATGTGTGGACATAAACTGGGTGTTTTCTGTGAGCAGGGATGAGAGGAGTGGGAACTCAGTGCATTCTGAAATTGCCTTTTTACTTGCAGCCCTGATCAGAGACCCATCGTCCCTTCATCGAGATCCCGGTTGGCCTTTTCTGTGTCTGTGCTGGACCTTGACCTCAAGCCCTATGAGAGCATTCCTCACCAGTATGTACTGGATGGCAAGATAGTCAACTACTATTCAAAGACTGTACGTGCCAAAGATGCTGCCATGATGTCGACAAGGTTTAAAGAAAGTGAAGAATGCACATTAGTGCTCCATAAGGTCTAACTTTTTACCTGTAGTGTCTTTGAAACTTGAACACAGAATGTGAAGGTTGAGTGATAGAGCTATTTTTCTGTTGTACTGGGTGGCTTTTGGCTGTGAATGTTTTGCTATTTAACCCCTGTTCAGGTGGGATTGCCTCTGGAGACACGGAATGGAAAAGCACTAAACACCATCCAGGACAAGGAATGTCAGTTGTGAGCCCAGGAATGTTGAGCTGAGTCCCCAGAAGCCACTCATTTTTAAAACTGGGGTTCCTGTCAAGCCCCAGGAAAATGTTCTGGACAGTTCTTCTTTTCCATCTAGGGCTCAAATCTAATTCTCTAATGCGAAAAGCCTTACTCTAAGACCCAAGGTTTGGATCTCCTACCAACAAACTCCTAACATAGAAAACTTGAATTATCACATACATCTTACAGTTTGGACTTTTTGAGAAAACATGGATACTACTGGAACTTTCCCAGCTGAGTTACTTGGTCACTTTTTTAATGCAAACCACACATCAGTGCAGGTGTAGGTGGTTCCCTGCTGTGTGATGGGTCATTGATGTGGACTCCGTTCTGAGCAGTGTGGATTTGGAGCCCCCGTGGAGGCACTGTGCCCACTGCTCTGCATGGGTCAGCAGGGAGGTGGCACTCAGGTTAAGGTGGACACCACTCGTGTGGGCGTTGACTTTCTGTTTTGCTGAATGATTTTAACTTTAGGGGAGACAAATGCTCTTCCCCACCTGGAATTGCTGCTGTGGATCTTAGAAGCAGAGCTGCAGCCATCCCCGGGGTGGCTGTGCTCCTAGCAGCTCTGTGTTCCTGGCATTTGTGGGTGTTTGGGTGGCAAGGAAACCTCAGCCAGTTCTGTCAGAGCCAGCATCGAGCTTCCTCCCCCATCTGTTCTTCCCTCAGTTCCACTAAGATGTGTGGTTTTTGCAGCCTCGTGTGGTGCTGGGCCACCTCCCTTCCAGGGCTGCTAAGGCCCTTCTTCCATGATGAGAGACTCCTGGCTGGCACCAAGAGGGTCTTTTTGGGGTCACCAAGTGTGCCCAGCTGCTATGAAAACTGTTGGGAATCTTGGCTTCAGTTTTTTATTCTATGGTAGGTTGTACAGATTATTTATATCATCATTTTGAGGGACTAATGAAGGCTTATTGTAACATAATATTATATTAGTGAAACCATGGAATTGTATGAAAATGCCACATGAAAAATAAGGAGACTATTTTGCTGATTGTAAACTTTTGTGGGAAATTTTGTGATAAATTGAGAATTACACTTGTTTGAATCAAGCCAGATCTTCTAGAATTTATTCTTCTATTGTCTTTACACTTCTTTCTCCCATACTCAGAGGTGCAGAAAGATACTCGACTGACCACCTCTCTCATTCATGTGTGTATTGAGGCCTAAGGTCTTTGGGGACTGTAGGGATGTGCGGGAGCGCTGTTCTCATGTGCAGGTGGCAGGCTCCAGAGCGCACATCAGGAGTGGCTCTCAGCCTTGTTTGGATCCTGCTTTCCTGTGCCAGGAGGTGCCCCAGCTAGCTCGCACTTCACCATGGCCTTGCCTGTTGGTGATGTTCATGCTATTGAAACTATGTTTTCACCGACTAGAACACATTTTAATGGTTGTCTGAAATCAGTGGCACTCTTAAACTCTGGACACTTTTAATGAAGACCCTAATTCTTCTATGTGGGGATTTGGACCATTGGTGGTAGACAGGGGTGTGGAGGCCCCCTGTGATGGAACAGTAACATCTTTGCTATCTTGTGGCACTTTTTAAAGTTAATTGCTCCGTTTTTTTTTTTTTTTGGTGGAGGACCAAGAAGAGTAAATGCCTCCAAGGGGTGTTTTCCAGACTTGGGGGTGAGGAAGGCTGAGTCCCCGCTGGGGTGTCTGAAGAGTGTCTAAGAAATGAGACTTTTGGCAAATTGCTTCCAGTTACCCCCAGGTGATAGGGGAATGCCTGGCCCTCACCCCCAGTTTTGATGTGAAGTGAGAGGGAGAAGTTGGGCAGACACCTTTCCTGTACCCTTTCTCAAATGTTACTCTATACGTGTCACTTGTTAGGTATTTTGTATTTAAACGGCTGTATTTATTTTTCATGTCATGACAGGTATATATAATGTGCCATAACTGCATAGTCAACATGATTTAAAGGGATGATTTCTAAATAGAAAATAGCACATGTTTATACTCAATAAAATCACACGCTTCAGGTGCACTCACTGGTTCCTAGTTGTTTTCCTCTGTGCAGAGCGATGCTATCAGGCTCTCTAGAGTGGCTTCAATGCCCAGCGCGCCCAGCAAGGCTCGGAAGCTGAGTGGAGCAGCTTCTATGACTCTGTTCTTGTCCAGCTGAAGGGCTGTAAAGACGACAAACTGGGTAAGAGATGTCATGGGATCCCTTGTGTTAGTGCTTACTCTCAGCCACAGTGAGGATGGTGGGGCTGTGGTCATGACTTAGTGGAGCTTTTAGCTGCAGACTAGAAAAAGAGACAGAACCTTTCCCTCCCTCAAGATTCAGCCAGGAGGCAGTTCTTAGCCCTAGACTGTCCACCTGTGTCATTGCCTGTGGCTTTTTTTCCCTTTTTCCTTTTCCTAATAAACCTGTTCTTTTAAAATGAAAAAAAAAAAAAAACAGATTCAGCCAGGAGGATCCTGGGGAAGTGTAATACCCCTCAAATGTGGTTTCTGAGTGATCAATAAAAATGTTTTTTTTTTTTAATGATGGGAAAAAGTACATTGGTGAGATTTAAACTTCTGACTATTGCCATGTAACACCAGATGAAATAAGTAGATGTCTACTGGGCCCACTAGAAGTCCCCAAAACATCTACTGGGGTCCTACCTCGCCAAGGCACTTGGGTGAGAAGATCCAGCTTTGGCAAAACCTTTCCTTCTTCATCTATTTGTATCCTCCAGACGATTACTAATTCAAACCTGAAAGATGTAAAATACACTGATAAGTGCCTTTCGGCATCTGTAAAGGCAAAACATACAAAGAAATCTGGTTAAAAGTAAACTGCAGCACCTCATCTGTCTTCAGGAACAGAGCTGCTGGCCTCCTGCCTCCTTGAGGCCGTGCCCCGCTGACTCTGCTCCTAAGGACATTGACCCCGAAGGAAGTACAGACAGTTACTCAGCTGGGCTGCTCGGCATCAGTAGTAAACAGGAAGATGGAAATGACCAGAACATGACCCTGCTTTGTGCTCCTCACATGTTAGCATGTCAGAATGTGGAGAGACAGGAACTTCATACTGGTGGGAAGTATACATTGATAATGATAAATTAACTCTGAAAATAATTTGGCAGTGAGAGAAAACTGAGTCCATCCCATGACGCAGGAATTCACTTCTAGGTATGTGGCAGGGGCATGTGCAGAATGTCAGAAATAGTGGAAAAGAACCCAAGTGCTCAAGGCAAGTGGAAGTATACATATTTACCTAATGAGCATATAAACAGGTGAAAATGAGTTCTCTATGCCCCCAGAGGTGAATTTTGGAAATAATATTAAATAACAAGGCAAGTCCCAGAAGCCTTCATAACCACATCCCATTTTCAGGTTAGAAAACAAAGCCTTCAAAACCCAGAGCTTGCAAGTACATTGCGTCCAAGTGGGTCACGTGCACGAGAAACCCAGGTGGTCCTCCCCTCACTCAGCACTTGCTGCCTCCTGACCTGCCCCTGCAGTGAGACCATCTATGCAGTCACTGTCCCCACATTCCCTTCTCGTGAACTCCCATTCCTGTGCATTTGTTTTGACTGCATAGACAGATCTCAGGACAGCAGTTAGGTGTTTTATATTTGTTTTCTTATTATTTGTAATCCCAGTTTTTACCAGGAAATGAACATCTGGGTGCTTGTGGAGGTGGATTTGTGGGGTGCTTGCACTCACCCTGGCTGGCTGGTGCTCCGGACCTCCATGTATCTAGAGGATGCCCCCTCTGGAAGATGTACAACTTCTGGGTACTTTTCCTGTGGGGAGAGGAAATGATAGAGAATTTGTGGAGTCACAGTGCACAGGGACACTTTCCCAGTGGTCTGAAAAGCAGGAGATTGTCTTGAGGTGTCTTTTACATTCCCTGGATGTCCTTGTTTCACACATGCCATTCACTTGTCCAGTACACAGCACTGAGGTGCCCTGGCTTTCCCTCCTTTGCTTACAGTGCGGCCTTTTATTCTTTTCAGGGTCACATGGCCTCCTGGCTCCCACACTGTCAACTTCCCCAGAGTGAACGTGTTGCAGGACAACCACCAGTTTGTCCACAAGGCCCACCTTCTTTGTGGGCTTGCATCTGAGCCAGGCCGCCTAATTGAGGAGGCCAGGACAGGCATGATGTAGAGGGCACCCTCAGAACCAGGCTGATTTTCACCTGATTCACCTGGTGATGCGGGCCCTGACTGCTGAGTTGAGTTGTCATCTGCCAGGTTTCTCACTGTAAAGTGACTTTCTCTCGTGCTTTAGTATTTAGCCATAAAAATTAAGTTTTTCGGGCCTCCCCGGTGGCGCAGCGGTTGAGCGCTGGGTTGCGAAGCTGCCCGCAGCCTCTGCAGCGCCAGTTCGATCCCCAGCTGTTCCTGGGCCACCGGAGGAGGGTCCCACATGGTGCGCAGACCTCTCCTGCCACCCGCTGCTCCCCTCAGCAGTGTATTTCGGTCCTTCTGCCTGCTCTGCTCCCTGCTCTGGCTCTGGTGGATTCTCTCACCCTCCCGCGCTTCTGACTGTACCCAATGCTTGTATAAATAAATAAATAAATCTTAAAAAAAATTAAGTTTTTCAAACTGAAGTTTATGGTCTGATCACTGCTACCACATCCACCCCCTCACTCTATCACTGTTGGCAGACAGCTCTTGCACAGCTCAGCCACCCAGACTTTTCTGGAGACCTGGTATCTCTTCCCAGGTTCGGTGGCCGGCTATGCTGGGTAACTGGGTTTCGGACAGCATACTCTGCTAAAAGTCAACTTCACAACGACAGTGTACCATTTTGAAGTCCAAAGTATTCTCTCTAAAACAGGGCAATTAAGTAGTTTGCAACTCTAGGATGACTTTGGCTTTACCACCTATGTAGTAACTTAAGTGTGTAAATTCACAGCAGACCCTTGGTGCCTATAGCCATGCAGACTGACCTGAATTTAGGCTCAACTTTAAGTGATTAGACAACAGCAAAGTTTTACAGGAATCTGACAATGTTAACAAAGGACAGAAATGAGAAGCTCATCTTTGTAGTTCTTGGAAAACTTTTTGTCATTCTGTGAAAACAGACTGCAAGTAGGGATGATCGGCTGGGACTGGTAAAGTAGGTGCCACAGGGGGATTTCACATTTCTAGAGTCAACTTTGCAAAGACATTTTTTCCAGTCCCCTCACATACCTGATGTAGAAATAGACACCTGGATGATGCTGAAGTCAGGCACAAGCCCTGGCATGTCCCAAACCCAACTGTCCTGGTCTTCCAAGCCTCACAGAACATTGAGGTGCAGTCTGGAAGATGACACTTCTTATCTGGAAGTGTCAGATTAGAAAGCCCTGTGAGACAAGGCCTTCCTAGGCCTTGATAAACTAGATTAGTTCTGTCAAGTGAGGTCTTATGGGGACAAAGATGTGTCATAGCTTTTAAAGGGCCAGCCCAAGCATCAGCGTGCTGGTTGCCAGCGTGTGAGGCCAGTGTTCCCAACCAGACCATGAAAGATGCCGACAGAGCAAGAACATGTCCAAACACCCGGTTGTCCTAACCAAATGCTGGGCTGGCCTGGTTTAAGCTTACAGATTTTTTTTTTTAAATGAGAAAATGTATACCTAAGTATTTCATATGGAAAGTGCTGGTTGATTTTTAAGCCTCAAGCTCTTCCAAATGAGTAACAACTGTATGAGGAATGTAAAGGCTAAGCTGCTGTGGCAAATGGCTTGTGGCTCAGCGGGCTCCAGCGTGGGGCCTGAGGGCAGCAGAGACTGGCTGCGGGCTCAGCCCCAAATGGGTTTCATAGCTTCTCCAGGACTTCTCAAAACCAATAAGGGGCTGTAGACACTTTCATTAAAAAGCGAAGAGTGTTCCCTTTAGTTTTAAAAAAAAAAAAAAAAAAGGAAATGCTGACATTAGGCTAAGGTCAGGCATTCAGTTTTGTTTTGTTTTTGAGAGTGTTTTGGTGTTGTGTGAAAGTTTCCTTCTAGACATATTTATCCAGCCTCATTCTTTTGCATAGTGATCTCACAGTTCCAGAACACAGCTGAAAATTGGAAGAAAGCAACTAAGCCAAGGAGCAGCAGTCCAAAGAAACAACATACAAAACAGAGCTGAGACACACGTGCTGCAAGGATCACGGAGGGTGGGACGTGGGAACAGGAGGGTATGTATTTGAGGGCAAGGACAGAATTGTGGAAAATGATCAACTCCAAATGCAAAGTGGGCTTGTGGTCACTAAGAGCCCCACATTTCAACAGTGAAAGAAATTTTGACTTATTACCACTGTATCTGACATAAAAGACAACTGACTCATCAAGACAGGCTTAAGATGATGTACTCTGATAAGCAGAGATGTGTATAACATGTTTTTGAAGGCTTTCTGCAAAACAGTTACACATAAAAAGGGTACTGGAAAACTCTGCCTGATCTGGAAAGCACCACAAAAGTTCACATCCATAAACCAAGGCCCAAGCAAATAAATGCCAGGGACCAGGGTCCTTGTACTGCCCAGAGGGGATTCTGTCCACACCCAGCACTCTGGCTTACAGAGTACATTGGGAGTACTGTACAATGTACAGAGTACATTGATTTCACAGACATCACAGGGAAGCCTGGAAGAGCTGTGTGATTCGGGGGCTTTGCATAGCCAGCCCCCCTTCCACAGGAAACTTGTCCTGATGGGTGTTTATTCAGCTGCTGGCCATATGCCTGCAGTCTGCATTCAGGAAGTCTTCCTGGTGTTTGCCTTAGGAAAAAAAAGTGGCTGGGAGAAAGTCAGCAATTTGATATTCAGCCCCAGTTTTACACCTGAGACCCACTTGGCTGCTGAAATACTGCTGATGCTGGTCTACAGAGAACCGAATTTTAAACAGGGCTTTAGAGAAAACCAGCCTCGTATCACTGATCAGTCATTCCAGCTCAATCCCAAGAGGAATAACCGGTCATGCCCCACCTGTCTTCCACTTACATGAATGGGGAGCCTTGAGTCCAAAGTTTAAACGTGCCCTTGAATGTCACAGACACATTAATTCACCTGGACTTTATTTCCTCAAAGAAAAGATGCCTGGCTGACTTTTTTGAAAACTGAGGTGTATTCACATAATAAAATTCATTCTTTTAAATCAGTGGGTTTTAGTATATTCACAGGGTTATCCAACCCTCACCACTTTCTGACTAGAACATTCTCCTCACCCCTTAAAGAAATCCTGTACCCTGCTGCCCTTCAATCACTATAGTACAACCCCCACCCAGCCATTAACAACTATTAATCTGCATCTGTTTCTATAGGTTTCTCTATTCTAGACAATAGGAATCATACTAAATACAGATTTTTGTGCCTGTGTTCTTTCATTTAGTATGTTTTCAAGGCTCATCATGGTAGCCTGATGTATATTAGTACTTCACTCCTTTACTTTGCTGAGTAGCACCTCAGTGTATGACACTCCATTGTATGTTCATCAGTTGATGGACACCTGGTGGTTTCTACTTTTTGGCCATTGGGAACAAGGCTTCTATGAACATTCATGTATGAGTTTATGTGTGGCCATAGGTTTTCATTTCTCTTGGTTCCCTACCTAGGATTGGAATTGTTCAGTCTTATGACTCTAACTACCCAAGGAATTGCCAAATTGTTTTCCACATGGCCATACCATTTATAATCCCATCAGTAGTGCATGAGGGTTCTGATTCCTTCATCTCCTTGTCAACACTTGATACTATCTTTGTCTCTAAACTCTAGCCATCCTAAGGGGGTATGAAGTGATATGATATCTCACTGTGGTTTTTATGTACGGTTTCCTGATGGCCAGTGATAGTGAACATCTTTGTGTTTATTGGCCATTTGTAATCTTTGGAGAAATGTCTATTCAGATTATCTGCCAGTTTTAAACTGGATTATTCTTATTGAGTTGCAATATAGTTCTTTCATATAAATCATTTTTTGGATAAATGGTTTCTAAAAGGTTCTTCCAGTTAGTGGATTGTCCTTTTACTTCCTTTTTTTCTTTTATTTTCTTAATGGTGTCATTTGTACAAAGTTTTAAATTTTTATAAAGTATAATTTATTTTTTTGTGTTATAGTTAAGAAATCATTGCTTAATCTAAGTCAGAGATTTACACACCTGTGCTTCTAAGAGTTTTATATTTTTACCTCTCATCCATTTTAAGTTAATTTTTTAATATGGTATGAGATCGAAGTCCAACCTCATTCTTTTGCCTGTGAATATCCAGTTGTCCCAGCATCCGTTGTTCAAGAAACGTATTCCTTCCCCATTTAATTATCCTGGTTCTGGTCACATTTTTATTAACATGTATTTGAAGATCACCTAATCCAGAGATAAGTGTCCAGTGAAGTGACATCCTAGACTTCTCAGCAAATGGGAGAATTGAGAAAAACTTACCTCAGTGCATATCTCATACCAAACATAGATATTTACTTAAAGATGGGTCACAGATATAAATGTAGCAGTAAAAGCCATATAACTTTTGAAAGGAAACATAGGCAAAAATCTTTGTAAACCTGGGTTAGCCAGTGATTTCTCAGATACAAAACAAAATAGAGGATCCATAAAAGAAAACTAAATGGTCTGTCTGATAAATGGGCTTCACCAAGGCTAAAAAGCTACTGCTCTTAAAAAACACTGTTAAGAAAAAGGCCAGCCTTAGACTGAGTGAAAATGTCTGCAAAAATTTGTACCCAGAATATGTAACATACACTTAAGAGTTTACAATAAAACAATCTTATTACAATAATGGTCAAAAGATTTAAAGACACTCAGCCAAAGAAGAGCTATGAAAGGCAGAGAGTAGGACTGCTAGTCCTTAGGGAAATGCAGACTAAAACCACAGTGAGGGCATAAGCTTCTAGTTGGAAGCTCCAACTGAGGCTGCAACTGGGATTGTGGGAGGGCCAACAGGGACAGGAAGGCACAGAGCATGGAGAATGATGAACTGCCATCAGCAGATGGAATGGATTGGAGTGGGATTGTATCTGTTAGCAAGTGCTGCAATGTTTTACTATGTTTCTGAAATCAATGCATCAACATGCTGGCCTTGGAACACATTCAAGGCATCAGGGGAGCCCACTGGAACCACATGGACATGTTCCCTGCAAGCTCAGTTACTCTCCCTGCTGTTTTGGGTATTTGCTGATATCTTACTGATAGATGTTTTGGTCCATTTATTCTTGTACAAGAGCTGACCCCCAAATGGTGGGCTACTGTACAACTGCTTGGCAGTTGTCTGCAATGGCCACCAAACATTTGTCAAGGCTTCTAATCAGATCAGCAGATTATGACTATTGACACATAGAATCA